CCACATAGGGACAGCAGAAACAAGTCATGAACAACATTGTTATTTAAAGTTAATATGTTCCATTAAATTAGTAAATAGTTGCTAATTAACACATCCAGCAGTTAAAGAGCAACATCACCATTCATTTGGCATTGTGTTTGTCCACCTGATGAATGTAAGTCCAATACTCACTCTCTTTTAGCCCTGTTTTTGGTCTCCACCAACTCCTAAGGGAAATATCTGTCTCTTTAGCTGCTAAATGCTCCACTATGTTCACCAGCTAGTCTCTAACCCCCAAGCTTCATACTGTATATATACAGTATAACGGTATGTATGATACAGAGTGTTTTGCATGTGCAGATCATCATACACACACTGCACACAGTATTGGATATTCATCTTACTATTACTGTGCAAATGTCAGTCAGACCAATGCTGAAAGAAAGCCTGTACCCACCTGTCTATACCAGCCACCATTAGAAGCTGTTTAAACTGCTGTGGACTCTGGGGTAGGGAGTAAAACCGGCCCGGCTCTCTGGACGGAACCACAAACTCTTTGGCTCCCTGAAACACAAAGAACAGATGAACATATTCTGGCCATCATATAAGTCTCTCTATATACAAGTACTTTGCTACATTAGCGTTTGTCTGTGATGATATCACCTGTGTTTTGTTAGCCTTTAGAGTGAAGACACGATAATTTTGTTTTGTTCTGGTAACTTCAGTTAAAGTTCAACAATATGAGGGAAGCCAAGACTATGTAATGCCCCTACATTTTCTCTCAAATGTATAATTAAGCAACTGGGTGACAAATCCTTCCATTTACTGAATGTTTGTTTGGCAAAGAAGCACTATAGTGACTCTGATACTGTGCAGCAGAAATCATTCAAAGATAAAGGACCTTTCTTACCCCTGGTGTTCTTTTAAACAAGGTAGGAGTTTCCACATCAACAAAACCTACAAATGAGAATAAAAGAGACAGTAAGAAACTGTTTTAATCATGCTTCAGCAATGAGGGTCTGGATTCTACTATTGGTCCACTAAAGTCCAACGACAGGCAGGTCACATTGGGCGGACACTCCGGGGCAGTATGTAGTAAATGTGAATGTGTTGTGTGTGTGTGTGTGTGTGTGTGTGTGTGTGTGTGAAGGCTCTGTGATGGATGGGCAACCTATCGCCTCACTGACTCTCGCTCTCCTTACCGTGCACATTACAGAGGTATTCTCTCATCTTCATCACCAGCTGAGATCTCAGTCTGAGGTTCTTCTGCATCTGAGAGGACCTCAGGTCCAGGTAGCGATACTGCATCCGTAAAGACTCCGATTTCTGCACAAACAACACAGTCACTCAGGATTATTAGCAAGGATATCACTAGCTTGAGTGTTTTGTAAAATAGTGGATATAACATGAGCTACTTACTTTGACAAAGTCTTTAATTTCAAAAGGCAACGTCCGGCACACATTGAAGACCTCCACACTCTCAGCCAGGATTTCTACTTCTCCTGTTGGCATCCTCTGTTGGTATGGACACAGAAAAAAAAGAGTATATATATATATATATATATATATATATATATATATGATTTTCACCCAGGTGGCCAAGGTTCAACTCCTGGTATGGGAACACTGCTTTTTCTTCCTTGGGGGTCAATTAAGTGTAAATCTACTGCATCTTCAAAACTGCCTTTTATTTAAATTTTTTTTAATTGAAAAGCTGTGATCGGGCAGTTGGTTGTTTTTCATTTTGGCATGGTCATTAAAAAGCCAATCTAAATAAAGCTACCATTGATTTGTTTTTAGCCAGTTATGATCTTATATTCCATACTAACCTTGTTCTCCTGTCCCGCTGGCCGCTGTCTCACTGTTCCTGTAACCTTGATGACAGACTCGACTGTGAGATCAAACAGCACTGATTTCAAATGACTGGCAGACTTAAAACACAGAGAGAAAAAGAATAGGTTAAACTCAAATAAAACAACTTTTGAGTTTTTACTTTATTAAATGCCTCTTCAGTGTGCAGGAAATAGCTGTACATCATTGTTAGCAGTGTCTCTATTAGAGGTGGTATGTTGAGTATAAAGGAGGCATGGCGGTTCAGTGGTTAACACTGTTGCCTCACAACAAGAAGGTTCTGGGTTCAAATCCCTGTTCCCCTACTAACAGAAACATATACAATAGTCTAACAGTAACTACTCCTAGTACTTGGGGATGTTTTAAGGTTATTTGTTGTACTTATAATATTATATTTTGGTGTTTGAATCATTTTCATGCTTACTTCTTCCTGAGGGATTAGAACTTGTATCAAGCCGCTGAAATCTCGCAGGATGACAAACATGTCTTGCCTGTTGGAGGCAGAAACATTGTTAAAATACAAAAATCGGAATTAATCACGGCACACTGGAATTACTTTACTGTGAATTATTTAAGATCAAACGACTTTCACTTGCAGCTGCCTCAGGTTCACTCGGTTAACTGTTAAAATCCAGTTTTATCCAGTATGAGGTCACATGGGAGACAAATGAGAACTGTCAGCTCATAACATATATTACAGTTTTGCTGCTCCTCATACATAGGATTGCGTCATTAGGTGCGTAGAGAGAAATCAAAGAGCTCACAGGAAGTCTAGAATTAAAATGTGACAGTGTCAGACATTGAAGGTCCTGTCATATGACGCTGCACGAGGCTCTGGCGGTTTACTGACATCACAGGATTTTGTGATAGCAATGTCAGTCTGTCTGTCAGTTGGTCCACACTGAAATATCTCAACAACCATTGGATGGATTGCAATACAATTTTGTGAAGATATTCATGGTGGTCCCCAGAAGACCAATCCTACTAATTTTGGTGATCCTCGGATTTATGGCTTTTACTGAACTATACCTAGAGCAGTGGGTCCCAAACGGTGTGCCCTGAGGACAGTACAGGTGTGCTGTGTGATTCTGAATGAGTTATTTAGTTTACTATATCAGTACTTTGTAGTTCCATTACCTCATTCTTTATTGTGTGACCTGCCTGGTTTCAATATGAATTGTTAACATTTTAAAGTGAATCCTTATGATTTGGTTAATAAATATTTCATGATTTGATTTGGTATTAGTAAATCAAATGTTTCATTTCAGTGTTCTAGAGGCTACTTTACATGGATATGAATGGACTGTGTTTGTTTTGTGCCATCATCAGGGTCAGAATGTTACATTGTCCAGTGGTTGCTTTGGTTTATGAGCTTCTTTCCCATCAGCCTCAGCTGCACTCTGTGTTTAATGTTTATTAGCACACACTAACTCGCTAAACCAACATAGAACATGGTAAGCATTACACCCGCTTAACAACAGCATGTTAGCATTGTCATTGTGAGCACATTAGCGTGCTGATGTTAGCATTTAGCTTAAAGCACTGCTGTGTCTAGATACAGCCTGACAGAGCTGCTAGCTCGTCTGTTAGCTCTCATTGCTATTAGGATTATAATGTTAATGTAATGTTGTAAACAGCAGTAACTGAATAATACCTGAGGTACTGGACCCAGCCACACAGAGAGACCCTCTCTCCCACATGATGGGCTGTCAGTTCTCCACAGGTGTGACTCCTGAATGACAGACTGCTGGGACCTGCAGAAGAACCATTAACAGACCAGAACTGGAGCTGACGATGATCTTATGACAACCAGTAAATTACACAACAACTTCTGTGTAACACGTATGTAGAGTTCTCAGTGGAAGAGATCGTATTGCTTTCAACATAAGTTGGATGATTTCATGGGCATTATGTATACATTTGTATATACATTTGTATATATCATATATATTGAAATACTGCTACAAATGAATATTGCGATAATGACTTTAACCATATCGGACCACCCTACTTAAACTCCATTAAACTTTCAGAAAAAACATGTGTCTGCTGTGAAAAAGGTCTGATGTTCACTTGAATGACCTAATGACTAAGGTGTCCAGTACAGATCATTTTGTGAGTAACAGCAGAGTAAAATGTATCGATATCTGTACTTTAGCTAAAAGGTAACCTTTGTGTTCTGCTCTGAAGCTAAATTCTGAGGCTGTTCTGTAAACAGCTGGTTTCCTCACTTTCTCATTTTAAAGCAAAAACCCATCAGCTGCAGTTCACTGACCAGTGAGGTTAATACAGATGAACACCAGTCTTTATTATGGGCATGTGGGCTAACTTCAAGGAAACACCAGTGTGCATTTTACTTGCCCATCGTGGACCCTAATGGGAGTCACTGCCCAAAGGAAATACACACTACAGTAAACTATAAGCCCCCACTCAGTCCCATGGTGCATCAGTCAGGGATAGCAGTACCTGTGGTGGGGGGATCGGACCTGTACAGTGTGTTTGAGCAGCTCAGCAGTCTGACGTGTGGTTTCCACAGCAGGCGTCCTCCACTGGAGGTCACAGCCGAGCCCTGGCTGCAGACAGTGGGAGCTCTGAGGACAGTGAACACTCTCTGCAGCACACACCTGCCCCTGGCTGCCATTTCCCAGCAGCACCGCGCCAAGCAGGGCTGATGGGATGTCTCTGAGGCTGTCTCTCAGGCTGTCTCTCAGGATGTCTCTCAGGATGTCTCTCAGGCTGTCTCTCAGGATGTCTCTGAGGCTGTCTCTCAGGATGTCTCTCAGGATGTCTCTCAGGCTGTCACAGTGTCCGAGGTCCTGCTGTCTGAATGAAGCACATGGGAGCTCTTCTTACAGAGACAGGCTGTTCCCTGATGTAATGACACCGTTATTCAACATGAGAGCGCTAACCCCGAGAACAGGAGCTCACAGACCGGGTCTGGGTGTGTGTGGGTCGGATAAGAACCCTCCGCTGTCACCTCATATGATCCTGGTTCCGCGTTATCGACTCTCACGGCTCTGTGCTCCTGTGGATGGGCTCGGTGCCGCCGTACACATCAGGTCACTGCCGATCCACACAGGTAGGAGTCGGCCGTACGTAAACGGATGTGACGTCAATGTCGCCTTTAGGCCGAAGTAGTCAATCAGCGAGATAATCGATATAAACCGCACTCAACCCGCACAGTGCGGTAGACGGGTGACATCATCGACATACGTTTCTATATTTCAGTAACACAGAAGGATATTTATGATTAAAGCTATTTAAAATACATTAGATCAATAACAGTAGTGTGATGTAGAGACCGCAGTGCTCGTCCTCTGAGAATGGACTGACAGTGAAGGAGGAGACTTCTTGTGTTCAGCAGGAAAACTGGGAGAACCCTTAAAAGTGGCTTTTCTTGTGAAACACCTTGATTCTTGTTACCTTGACCTAACCCTAACCCTAAGTGTATTATTTATCCCTCTTATTGACAACCATCCGCTCCAGAAGGGGGCGCTATAGTGTGCCTGTAAGAGCTCTGTAACGCGCAGAAGCAGTACTGCGTGCTCGGAGGGACAGTCCGTCTGAAGTTCCTGAACGAGTGTGTGAGAGTGTGTGTGAGAGTGTGTGTGTGACTGTGTGTGTGTGCAGACATGTCGGGCGGCAGGCTGATGAGAGCCATCAGAGTGAGTGAGTTCGGAGCTCCGGCAGTGCTCAGACTGTGCTCCGATGTGACTGTCCCTCAGCCGGGACACAGACAGGTGAGACACCCTGCAGCCACAGAGACTACCTTATTGCGTAAGAGTGGACATTGCAGACTGACATCAGTCAGATCTGTTGTTGTGTGTGAATAAACTTTAGAGTTTTAGTCAGTAATGTATATTTGTAAAATAAAGTGGCAATAAAGCCAACATAGTGAATGTTAGGAATATGAAAAAGCAATAAATGCATTATATGATCCTTTATAAGGAAACAGCAATTTCAATTAAACAATGGAAACCCACAGAAAGTACTGTAATCGTCTGTTATGCTCAGCCTGTGGCCGTTGGTAATCTCCATAAACCTTTTGCATGTGTATGTATGTGTCTTTAAAGCTGCAGTAGGTTACGTTTCTAAAAATATTTTTTGCTGAAACTTTCACTGTATCCTGACAGTAGTACATGAGACAGATAATGTGTGAAACAATCAGGTTCATCTGGCTCCTCCTAGTGCTCCTAATGGTAATTGCAAGAATCCACCGGGCCTGAATGAAAACAAGTGTATGGTGAAAGTTTCAGCCAATATGACAAAAATCGATATTTCTAAGCGTTACCTACTGCAGCTTTACTTTATTACATGATGCTTTTTAACTGTGTCTCCATCCACAATGTCTCTCCGCTGTAGGTGTTGATCCGTGTCCATGCCTGTGGAGTGAACCCTGTGGAAACTTACATCCGGGCCGGGACATACGCCCGTAAGCCCACCCTGCCATACACGCCGGGCACAGACGTAGCTGGAGTGGTGGAAACTGTTGGAGAAGGAGTCTCTGCAGTAAAGGTCTGATTAACAAACACTGTGGGATTGATGGCATGCACAGTAAAACAGAAATAATGCTGGATACATTATTGTACATTCATCTTAGTTTGCTTATAAGACCATAGTGCATCCTGGACTCCTCAGAAGAATACCACAGCAAACATATGTGTTCATTTAACACCACAGGATCAGACTTATTTTCCTTTTTGATTGAAGTTATTGTTTCCACAGATAGTATAACCCATCAAGCTATTTATAACACCTGTTCTGTGTTTGTATTGATGTGTCTGTCCGTATTCATGCTGAAAGGGAGTGCTAGTGTATGTTCTAGAGCCCAGTGTGACAATGGGACAGAAATATATCATTAATAATGAAATGATTACATTTATCTTACATGGAATATGTATTATTTTAATTTTAAACAGAACAAGCTCTATGCTACATCACATGCGTGCTTAATAATAATAATAATAATAATAATACATTTTATTTAGAGAGCACTTTTCAAGAAACTCAAAGATACTTCACATGAGTTAAAAAGAAAATAATAAATAATAAAAACAACACACTCAAAAAATATATCTACAACACTCAACAATGAATTAATCATTAAAAGCAGTTCTGAAAAGGTGGGTTTTGATTAGTGATTTGAAGTTGGATGGATCAGTACTGTCTTGGATTTGTTTGGGGAGAGAGTTCCAGAGGGAGGGGGCAGCAATGGAGAAGGCTCTGTCGCCCCAGGTATGATGCTTGGTCCTCAGTGGTGGAGACAGGAGGTTGGCATCAGAAGAGTGGAGGCAAATCATTGAGAGAGCCAGTGTTGCCAACTTGGAAGCTCTCTTGCTAGATTTAACAACTTTTCAGACCCTCTTAGTGACTTTTCTTCTAAAAAGCGATTTATTCAGTCCATCAGCGAGAAATATATTAAATTGTATTGTAATTCATTCCCATGCAAGCTGCTCAGAATAATCACAGTCCACAGCTCTTCTGCTAACAGTGCCGGGGTCTCTCCCTCTCCTCTTGTGCCGTGCTCAGGCAGTCAGTAGGTGTGGGACGAGTTTCACCTTCTCTCTCACTCTTTATCTCCGGCTCTCTGGATTTGGGTGTACCTGTAGCTTATACGTAAATAGTTTGTTTGAGCAAGTAAATATTTAGACAGTTTGTTTGACCTTGTCCCTCTCTTTGTAGATTTTTCTACATTTTCAAATATACAATGTCCGTGGTGTGAGTTTGTGACTATTTGGCTAAATAATGATAATGTTCAAAGTGTGTGTACGTACATTTCCACCTCCATATACCAATCAGAAACAGGTTTGCATTTGCACTGCAGTTTGCAGATGCATTCATTGATTAAACAGTCAGAAACTCAACCAGTGACAAAAAGAATAATGACAGGGTGAATTCTTATTCAGATATAACAGGGAACAACTGGCAGAACTTCCATGGTCGACCAGAGTGAGTCAATGAAGTGATGTGAGATACTGAAACACAACAAAAATTATTAAACTATATTCATTATGTTCAGTTTGGGACAATGGTTGTTCAGTCTGGGACAGCTGAAAGTAGAATTTGTGACAGTTATGGGGAAAAATGTTCATTGTACGCCCTGCTAGAGCCGGCCTGATGGACTGAATACTGTCTGAAGGTAGTGTGCCCTCAGTCACTGATTACAAAACAAGCTTAGAGGAGGAAGTTAACACATCCATATGTGGCAAAGTACAAACTGAACTACACTGATCTTTACCAGCTTACACAAGAATCTGATGTATTGTGAGAGTGCAGACACTCTGTTAATACTGTTCAGGTGTGAGGAGTATGATTCTAACAAAAAGATATTTAGTCTTAAAAATAATATAAGCCGAACTCAAGATATTAAGTCAAAAATATTCGTGTTAGTTCGTGTTCAGATTGCTTTACCACAACTCCTCCCTGACTGGAGTGGTTCATCCTCTGAATACCACAGGATGGCAACTGTAACACACAAGCCTCACACTGCCCCTCTGAACTCACAGGTACTTTGTATAAGCGATCCTCCCACATCTTGTCCGCTATCCAGCTTCTGTATGCAAGGCCATAAGGTATTTAAAAAAAAATTGTCACACGCCACTGTATGGATAAAAACAACATAGTCCTCAGTTTACATTTACAATGCTGCTGTCTGGCGGTTGGGGGTTTAAACACAAAAGTCAGTACAGTGATTTTGAGAATCCATACGATGTATACAGTGTTTATTGATATTTTCTTACCTCCAGCTATCCTGTTTGCAGTGTACTTTGATACTGAAGAAAACCTAAAAATGTGAGGATTCTCAGGCACGTTGTGGAGTTTTTTTTTTTGGACGTTTAATTGCGATGGACATTGAAGGCAATGATGTCACAGAGAATCTAAAAAAAAGTGTGTCATATGATACAGGGAGGTCGCAGTTTAAAAACCTCTGATCTATAATAAACAGGCCTACTAGCACATGTATTGGTTGTCCTGCAGTTGTTGCCACTAGAGTACTGACATTTTTCTAAATTCAGTAAAAACACAGGCTGAACACTTTAAACCAGAGACGGGGACAGTGATAACAGGTTGCTGAGAGAACAGTGTGATCGGTAGCAATTACCTTGTTAAGTCAACCAGTGGGAGGCTGCTGTCATGTTGTGCAGTAAATCATGTGTGTTTTTCAGACAGGAGACCGTGTGTTCACCACAGCCACAGTCAGTGGAGGTTACGCAGAGTACGCCGTAGCGGCTGACGACTGCGTCCACAAGCTGCCCGACGCTTTAGACTTCACCCAGGGTGCGGCCATAGGCGTCCCATACTTCACTGCCTACAGAGCTCTGGTTCACAAGTAAGACCTCGCCACTGCATCAGCCAGTTCATCTCTGATGTTATGACCAAAATGTGTTTTAACTTGTGTGTGTTGCAGAGCCCACGCCAAGCCTGGAGAGACCGCCCTCATCCATGGAGCCAGTGGAGGGGTATGCTTTTTCCTTCTTTTTTGTCTTTCCCTTGTAATGACATTGTTAAATAAATTTTAAAAGGTTTCCATATTTGCACCACATGTGTCTGTATGTTCAGGTCGGTGTGGCGGCGTGCCAGTTGTCCCGTGCTCTGGGGCTCAGGGTCTTAGGGACAGCAGGAACACCAGAGGGGATGAAGCTGGTTCTCAACAACGGAGCTCATCTGGCCTTTAATCACAGAGAAGAGGGCCACACAGACAAAATCATGGTATACACACACACACACACACACACACACACACACACACACACACACCCTGCAGGAACACCAGATGGAAAGGAACTGGTCCTGAATGAAGCTCTCTAAGAATTTAAACATTTAATAATCTTATTTCTGGAGATGAAGCGTATTTGTATTCTGTCAGGAGTTTTAGTAGTGCTTACAGAGATATGGACTCTGTGTTAATGTGTGTGTGTATTTGTCTGTTCCAGGAAGCCACAGAGGGCAGAGGCATAGATGTGATAGTGGAGATGCTGTCAAATGTCAACCTCAGTAAAGACCTCCAGATGTTGGGCTATGGAGGACGTGTTACGGTCAGTAGGACTACAGTCATTATAAGGATCTTATCTTCCATCTCCACAACAAGTAAAATATTTCCCCCCCTTCATGTAAAAATCATCTTTGTTTCACAAAATATCTTCTTCTACATCAACAGTACGTCAAACACCAGAGAGGAGGAACCATAGATACAGCTTTGCGTCTGTGTTTCGCCATATTGTGGCGGTCAAGATGCGAGTGAGCTCAGACATACAGCGGTGGCATTCAGCAGCATGTTTATATATCTATAGGAGGAACATTCTGAGCTTTTGTAGTGAGCTTGTCTTCCTGTGGCAGTAGTAACTTAAAAACACAAACAATAGTAGATAATTATTTATTTATTTATTTTTATTATTATATATTATCTGCTCTTTCGAAGGCGTTTTCATGAATCTCATTTTAGTGACCCTGTTTGCGTGTGGACGAGAGGCCAAAACACGGAGGGACATACATTTTCAAAAATACTGGTATTCGTTCGGACAAGACCTTCATGAACAGACAAGTTGGAGTCTGAAGGGTCTGAGGAATAATTCTGACAGGTGTCTGAGGCTGACATCATCAGCACTGCAAACTGTATTTTAAGGAGCTCATCTCCTGTGTCTATTTTAACAAAACACTGACAGATGAGACACTAGTTACAGTCACATTAGTTACAGTAGTTGTATCCCAGTATGGCTTGTTCCTGTGCATTTTATTTTTTTTAAATTCATGTCTTTTTCTGTTTAGATCGTAGGCTCCAGAGGCCCCATAGAGATCAACCCCAGAGACACCATGGCTAAAGAGAGCAGCATCATGGGAGTGGCCCTTTTCTTCGCCACACCGGTACAAAGCAGCGACATCACATAAGTCATGTTACACACACACACACACGCACAAACACACACACACACACACATGCACACACAGATACACAGACACGCACACAGACATACACACACACATGCATGCACACACGCACACACACACTATACACGCACACACATGCACGCACGCACACACATACACACACACACACACACACTCACAGACATAAACACACACATATGCACGCACACAAAGACACACAAACACACAGACAGACACACACACACACACACACACACACACACACACACACACACACTGAGTGGTTGATATTGCAGACTTTGGATGATGATACACATGTGACAATCTCATTCAGCTTAGTTGAATGTGACTGAGATGGATGAGCGTTGTTCTGTGTATTAGTGGCTGGTAATGTATTACATTGGAATTAATGCAACTACCTGCATGCACCAGCCAATCAGTATGCTTAAATCACCTCAAATGACTGTCAGTTGGCTAAAGTCAGATCCAGTATCCAGATTGCCAGTACTTACAGTGATCACATGATGGCATAAACAACACAACTTTCCTCCAATACAGTGTTTGAGTAGATTAGAATGTGTTGTTGTCTGCTCTCTCAGGAGGAGCAGAGGGAGTGTGCAGCGCAGCTCTACGCAGGGATGGAAGCTGGTTGGCTGCGTCCAGTCGTTGGTTCCCAGTATCCGCTCGACAAGGCCGCCCAGGCCCACCATGACATCATTGAGTCTCCCGGGGCTGCTGGGAAGATGGTCCTGACCATGTGATGATGTGTTCATACACAGGCAGGTCAAAGGTCACCATGGCGTTAGGGTTTTGGCTGTTCATAAAGGGGACTCTTGAGGAGCAAACAGTGATTAATGTGGTGACATTGAGGTTTAAATAATTTAAGGTTTGAAGGTTTTTACTAGAATACTAATGCGCTTCGACACAAACTCATTCATCACTCATCACTGCTAATATGCAAAACATGGATATAAAGGTTAGAAGGTTGAAGTTACTGAGGTCTGCTGTGATTTGTCAAACTGAAGATGATGACATGGTTAATTTCAACCTAACTGCTAAATCATGCTAACAAGGAATAATGTGTGACTCTGCGTGGTCCAATCACTTGAGCTGTACATGACTAGCTAGTCCACTGGTTCCCAACCTTTTTCCTCAAAGCTTTCTATACATCTATACAGCTTCTTTTTTGACAAAGTCTATGTTTTCTTCTTATTGTTCTTTTAGATCTTACTATATATATTCTTAAAATCACAAAGGTCTCGCGACCCTCCGGGACCCCCAGGTTGGGAACCAGTAAACTAGGCTTCAAAAAAGTACCTCTGATGCCTTTGGCTGCCTTTGTCGACTATGTATGTGACCTTTACCATGTTCATTATAGCAGTTCCTTAAGAGTCTCCCTTAGCTTAACTGTGGTTTGGGCTTTAAAGAGGTTGTGGGGGCTGTCTATCTTCAGCTGTCACTATCAATTAAAGGCAATAAAAGCCCCCAAAAAACATAAAATTAATTTAATCTTGTTGCATTAATTGATTCATTATTATTGTTTTGGCCACTCGGGGGCAGCAGAACTTGCTGAAAACAACATTAACATATTATCACCTTATAAAGTTGATATGTTAGCAAATAATTGCTTATGCACATCCAACAACATTAACATTTATTTGGAGTTATGTTTCCTGCCACCTAATGAATTTAAAGTCCAATATTCACTCTCCTTTAGCTCTGTTTTGGTCTGCTAAATGCTCCACTCTGCTCCCCAGCTAGATGCTAAGTATGTCTGTCTGCTGTAGTGTACAGTGGGTTTTTAGAGCAGAGGAGAACTGCAGAGTTGTCTGATAATTCAGGGCTCATGTTACTAATAGTCATTGTTAAGATAAGTTTGATTCCTGCAGCTTTAAGTGAATATTTAAGGTAATCATTAAATAATACACTGTTCATGGTTTATTTCTGTACGTTGGGTTTAATTTAATCAAGAATGTGACAAAATATTTTTCGAGCTGACTGATAGTGACAAATACACTTGAGATGTAGAATGAGAGTATGGAATATATTAAATTGCTGATGTTCCTGAATGAAATTGTAAAACTATATGTGTTACACAATGATAGCAACAATGTAAGATTAGCCCTAGAAATACCATCATGCCTTTATTAAAGTAATTCTACAATTGTCCTCATTCACTCACCACCAATGATCTAGAGACCAAAATCCCCAAATGTGATCTGTGGTCAAGAAGACAAAATGGATGAAACCATTTTTATTAGCTGTACATTGTGAAAATAAAAGAAATTTGTAAAAATAAAAACAAAAAAAACCCATTTTGGAATCTTTTGTGGCAATCCTATTAAACCACATTGACATTCAAGAAAGGAATTAAGGTGACAGAGTAAAGTTAAAGGCTCATTTCTGACTCAGGGAACTGAGTCATGACATCTGTGCCTCTCAGGTGACAGCCGCCCCTACTGAGCATGCTCCAGAGAGGGCCAGGTAACCTAAGCTAGACACACACATTTACACAGTACCTGCTACAGCCCCGTAGCAACCAGTAGATGATGGAGTCCACCAACAGTAGACCGTCCACAGAGCTACAGATCATTCTTATTATGGATTAATATGTGAGTGGACTGTACCATGTCATCAGCAGGGGAGGACCTTTGGGCTCTGTTCAAGAGGTAAGCAGTGTGTACTGGGTTTTTACATTATCTCTAATCATTGTTGGCTTGGTTAAGGAGGAGGTGTATGGGTGTTCACAAACTAAAGCCAGGCAGAAAGCAAATCAGTGAAATTGCAGAAAAAGGTCCTCACATGTTCAGACCTCTCTTTGGTGTATGGTGGTGAATGTCAGTCAGCTGTGGGTATATTATTTTAACTGAACTGTCACCAGCTTGCAGGATGAAGGCAGAAGATATTTAGGTGAGGCTGGGGATCGGTCCACTTAGAGGTCACAACGAACCTGATTCACAGGGTGAGGGAATAGATTTTGATTGTGCCAGTGACCAAATATTGGGAAAAACAAACAAAAAATTCTAATGTCTAATGTAGAGATGTGTAAAACACCTTGTGGACCACACTGTAATGGGACACTAAAGTTCTTAGGTGAAAGCAACACTAGTGAAACGGTTTTAGGTGAGGTTAGGTTAGTAGTTCATTAGCAGCAGTTCATGTAAACTACAGCTAGATTACCAACCAGGCATGCATTTTTACTCAGTTTTTAATATTTTTAATATTTCAGTTAATATTACATGTGCATATCCTACGTACAAAGTTCACTTGCCACAGGATGTTGCACTAGAACACCAGTGTCTCACCAAAACTGACTTGTTAGTCTTTCCACAGTCAATCACAATCATTAACACTGGTTTGGTCAACATAAACCCTTAACTGTGTGAGCTAAGTTTATTCATTGTGAAATCTAATGTTAATCTTTGGGGACAAATGCGCCCTTCAAATTACATCCACAGAAAGTGCTGTTTTTGCCACTGACCGGCTCAGATTGTTATTCTAAGTAACATTACAGAAAGGATCCATAAAAGATTTTTGTTTGGCATTATCATTTGCCACCAGACTCCATAGACCAAAACATTTCACCCTGCGTATCATTTGAACATTGCAACTTCATTCAGAGTGAACAGAAACAAAATAAAACTCACCTAAACTGTCTTTGTTAGTCTTTCCACTGTTCCAACAATCACCAACTCTGCTTTGGTTGAAATAAATCCTTAATTCAGGTAGATGATAAAAACAGCAGTTTCCGTACTCAGCTGCACACGGAGCAGACTGGCTATGGAAACAAACTACAGAGAGGCTGCGATAGCAACACAGGCAGAGGGTGACACCTTAACTCCACTATATTTTTACATAGCTAATAGTTTGCTGCTATATTTATGTTTAAATTTCAACATTGAACATTAACATTAAAACTACCTGCCATACAGTAAACCTGCGGTTGAGTTAATCCAGCCCTGATGTAAACCAGTCAAAAAAGACACACATTGCCACATATTGAAGCACAGACACACAGTGCACAGTGGGTTTATCAGGCACCAAATAGCTCAAAAGTACTAAAAAGAGAAGGAAATTAACCACAAAAACACTCAAAATCACCACAAAGACAAGGAAATGTACTACAAACATAAAAAATTACTACAAAGAGATGGCAAATGACAACAAAGAGACTCAAAAGGACTAAAAAGAGTCTCAAAACGACCATAAAGAGAAGGAAATTGACTACAAAGAAACTACAAATGACAATAAAGAGAAGTAACTCATATTTGTTCTTTTAAGAGGACAGCTCACTAGAGGAAAGTCCATTAGGAGAAGAGCTTTAGCAGAAACATGATAGGCCTCATCCTGCTACAATGTCTGGCTGTCATCCATCAGTCAGCATCCTCTGGGGACTACCTCCACCTCCCCTGATGACTCACACACACACACACACACACACACACACACACACACACACACACACACACACACACACACACACACACACACACACACACACACACACACACACACACACACACGGCAGTTCTTTGCCATTTATTGCTGTTTGTTTGCCTAGCAACTCAGATCAAACAGTGAAAAAACATTACAACTGGTGAGCCATCAAAGGTCCACAATCTTTGGTCCAAGGACATTCTGAGGTCTCTAATGTGGCTCCAGAGGGAACAAAGCAAAGTTCAATTGAGTTTCTTTTAATCTTTACAAATTAAATTCACATGTCCAAATGACACCATGGTCTGTTCCTCAGTGTTACTGCACTCACGCCAAGTCTGAGCCAAGATCACTTCCAGACCATTTATTAAGATGGCCCATGACAATTTTTTTTTTACAAAATGTAGAGTGTATTTCCAAAGATGTAATTATATGCTTCAACAGGCCGAACAGATGATGATCATGACAGTGATGCAGCTGTGCCGGGTTACAGCCCTGTGGAAGAGATGCTACCTCATCACCATGTTACCTCAACTATAACACAACATGACCAGTAAGTACTACACACAGTGGATTTACATCTTAAACAAATGAGACAATCATTGAAATTAATTGCAGTCTGCCTGCAGTTATTGTAGGTAGAAACCAGACGGAGATACAGCAGGTTAACACACTCCGGTTGATCAGCGTCAGCCATAATGAAGCTTATTGTTTTGCCAGTTTCCAATGTGTAATTGTTCCTATAGTTTTTGTGAGAAATGTGAATTTGTCTGCAGGTATTCTGCTGATGTTGCTGCTGTCAGTCATCAGAGCCCAGCCTGTGCCCCCTGGCCCATCATGCCCTGCTTCCTGTGTGGTTTGTTCTGAAGATGCCGTCATCTGTAACAGACTGGCTCACATTATCAGTAATGCACACAGACAGACAGACACACACACACACACACACACACACACACAAACACTTACAGTAAAGTACAGCTTTTGTGTTTCATGTTACCCAGTCTAAATGATAGTAATTTAATTATATCTAATTTCCCTTCACATACTTTGCAGTAATATGACAAACTTTGTAGTATATTACCCATGATACCTCATATGCTTACAGGACTGTACTGTGTGTGTGTGTGTGTGTGTGTGTGTGTGTGTGTGTGTGTGTGTGTGTGCGTGCGTGCGTGCGTGCGTGCGTGCGTGCGTGCGTGTGTGTGTGTGTGTGTGTGATCAGACGCTCCAGACACAACCCAGGCTCTGCTGCTAACAGAGGGCTCCATCTCCACAGTGCAGCCTGCCTCACTGTCTGACCTCAACAACATTACAGTCATAGGTCAGTCAATACCTGTGTGTCTGTGTATGTGTGTGTGCATTTGTATGTACTTGCACATGTCTGGGTTGTTGGATGCTATTCCTTTCTCTAGGAAGAGAGCAATGAGAAGATAGCAACAAGGTATCTGTTTGCCACATTGTCTTTTTGATACACCCACTAGGGGGTATAGTGGCTTTAAAATGCTGCAAGTATGAACTATAAGTCTCTGTCCCTCTGTCAGGACTGAGTCATAACCATATATCAGTGCTGGGAGAACAGTCCTTCAGAAACCTGCCCTTCCTCCACACCTTACTGCTGGACCACAACCTCCTGACCAGCCAGGCCCTACAGGGGGGAGCTCTGACCAATCTAACCCATCTAGAAGTCCTCGCCCTGGGCCACAACATCATCAGCATGGTGGGTACAATGGGGAAAAATGTACCTGGGAACATGTTAGCTGATTGTTGTATTTTTGATTTAAAGAATTTGGGTGATCCGGTCGTAAAAAACCTCACTGTTGATGTTTTCCAGAACGTCCACAGACCTCTTCTTGTACTGAGAAAGAACTACGTGAATCTGTAATATTACAAGTTTGAGTACTTTGAGTGAAGTCTGTATTATTTCCTCTGTGCTGATGTGCAGATCCAGGGAGGCTGGCTTAAAGGTAGCAAGGCCCTGCGGAGCCTGAAGCTGGAGGGAAACCTGCTTACAAGTTTGGACTCTGGTTCCTTTCCTCTGAATGATCTCAAAGCTCTGGAAAGTCTGGATCTGTCAGATAACCTGATAGATCATCTGGACAGAAACAGGTTATTACATATTTACCATACATTCATACATCTACAATATTTTTTGATATTTGATATTCATAATATTATATATTTTTTCTTTTTAAGAAATGAAAGAAAAGTCTTTCAGCAATGCCAATGTAATGTGTACAGTATGATTCTGTCTTGTGGTCTTAGCTTCAGTGGGTTGGTGAGCCTGCAGACTCTAGATCTTTCCAGAAACCGTCTGAGTACGGCTCCTGCTGAGGCTTTTTCCTACCTCAGCTGGCTGACAAACCTCAACCTGGACCTCAACTCATGGAACTGCTCCTGCCAGCTGCTGGAACTGGCTGCCTTCCTGTCCACCTTCATACAAGAACCCGACAAGGTGCAGGAGTTTTTCTTCATCCCGTTCAATCCTGTCCAATGCAGCTTCACTTGTTCCAGGAACTGCCAGATTAAAAATAAATGATTGAAACATATTTAATTTGGTGACTAAAGATTATGACTCCTATCACCACTGTAGTCCCAGGTAGAAGAAAACACAAGATTATATTATTGGAAAAAAACTGTAGTAAAGTAATTTGATGAGATTATTTGGTAGAACTGCATTGGAAGCAATTGGAACTAGACCTGTGCAGGTTTACAAGGGTCCAATCACCCAACCTAAACAAGTTGTTTTGAGGAGAAAATGATCAGTACAAGACTAGTTGACCTAAACCTGACATCTTCCCCCCTTGCTGCTTTCAGACCCTCTATAATGGCCGTAGGATGGTGTGTGTGAGCGCCGACAACCCGGCTGTAACCACGGTGCTAGAGCTGACCGAGGCCAACTGTGTCCCGTCCAATCAGAACATCACAGTGCAGATACAGACAAGAGGCAGCGTGACGCCTCAGCTGTATGCACGAGATCTGGCAATCACAGCAGTCATCTGCTTTATAGGTGAGAATGATTCACAACAAAATCAAAGAAAATGGTTTGTGAATTTAGTTGTGCCATTATGTCACTAATTACTTAATTGGAAAAAGTTGAAAACACAGAAATGTCAGCTCTCACAACTTGCTGCTTAATTAGATGCTATGTGTTTGAAATTAACTACATTGCATTTAAGACTATACACCTAAATGATTTTAAAACATATTTTATTTAGTCAAACCTACTGTATCACAGAGTCTTTGAATGTGTGTCTTTTTTTTGTTATTTTACATTGCACCGATAAAATGATTACATTGTGAGCCAGCAGGCACGGTCACATCAGAAGTAGTCAGATAGTGATGTATGTGTGTACAAATGTACATATGTAGCAATGATTCAACAGCCCATTATTCAGAAAACAAACATCCATGCTTCGAAGGCCCCTTGTTCCGAAAATACATACTCTGTATCATTAACTTGCATATGCAACTTACCTGACATAACTAATGTATTTATTTTAAACCAAACCTAATCCTTTCATAAACATAACCAAGTAGTTTTAGTGCACAACAAACAAAACAAAAAACTGCGACAATTTCCTAACATTAACCATGTATATATTATTGTTACCATGACGACAAACTCTAGGGAGAGTGTGTTTTTCTGATAATGGGCTTTCAGATAAATGGGACATTTTTCAGACTATTGAGGTTATGGAATAATGGGCCATAGGAACAATGGTATCCCCCGGGGGGCAGGGTTATGTGGAGTTAGATGTTTTGACACAATTAATGATTGATGCAATATTTCAGTGGACTTACTTTGCTGTTGTGAACAGTTGATTACTACAATTTCATTAATGAACTGAATTTAATGTGAAATGACCTGGTCTCACTGTGCTTTTAGAGAGAAATCTTCTGGATTGATTGGACTGGATATGATCTCAATTAATTTGCTACATGACATTTTTATGTAGAATTGTAAAGGTATCCAATTAAAAAATCAAAATGCCCATTAAAGATATCACTTGTCCTGCTCTGCTTCAGGTGGCGTTGGCCTGACCCTGCTGGTAGTTCTGATCTACTATCAAGTCTCTCGGAGGAAGAAACGAAAAGAAAGTAAAAGACAGAAAACGGAAGAAGAGGGAAGAAGCACAATGGCAAATCACCATGTCAATCACCTAGATGTTAGAGAAAAGAGGAGGGACCTCTTCTTGCAAGCAAATAGCAGCCAGCCTTGGGACAGGGAAGTCATGGCGTTGGATGCAAGGACAGATGGCCCTGGTCACCAGTTTAGGTCCCGAGCTGAGGAAAACGGCAGCCATTTTAGGTGCCCGGATTGTAGCACCGAAGGGCAGAGGGGGATGGGGCCGAACCCGATGAGATGGAACAATAGAATAAATGGGGGGATGGAGGTAGAGGAGGAAATAGTGAAGAGGCAAGTGAGGATGATGACAGAGGAAGAAAGGAGGAGGCTCGGGACTCAACAGGGAATAATCTTGAGCAGGGATATCCCCAACAAGCTTCTTTCTCATGGCAACACCAACTCTTCTCATCCACGGAAAGAAACCTTCAGTCAGAGACAAGAGACCCTGGCTGTTTACAGAGAGATGGGTGAGAGCTACAGGACTGACATGGAAGGGCAGAGGAACAGAGGACACGAGAATTTACACTGCGAGAGCTGCCACAGGACATACAGACCACCAGAGCAGAACACAAGACAAGGGAGGATTCACACCAACATGAGAGACTCTGCTCTGTTTGATGGCTTCCCTTCTCAGTACAGACAAATTGAAAGGGGTAGGAATGCCAACCAAAACCAGTTTGACATCGTGAAGAACACAGAGTTAAGAAGAGAAACAAGAAATGTAACATTTGATCTGAAAAAGTCGAAAACCCAGGAGCACAGAAACAGTCAAGCCGATGACAAGGAGGAGGAAGAGAGGACCTCCAGAGACAAGGACAGTGGAAGTGTAAGAAGACACAAAGCTAAAGGCCAGTCTAGCCGGTTACTGAAGGTTAAACTAAACCTGAACCCGCTACGAAAAAGCAAAGTCCATCCTAAGAGGAAAACTGAGCACGGCCACTCGGAGAAAAGCAGCTCAAAGAAGAGCAAAGATAAAAGGCCAGATGGAAAAGAAAGAGGAGAGAGGGAAGGGAAAGGAAAGTCTGGTAAGAAAACGAAGAGTAGCAGCGAGAAAGCAAAGAAATCCACCAAGACTAAAGGATCGACTGAGGATGGTGAGGAAGAGAAGGAAGGAGGAGGACAGAAAAGCAAAATAACTCCCAAAGGGGGGGCAGGTGGGCAGGAAAGTACTGAAGGCAACCAGGGAGAGAATAAACACCAAGAGAACTCTCAACCTGCTGATACCACTAATACTGCTGACCAATCAGCCTCTGCTATTGCCATTGGACAGAGACAAAATTTGCAGGGTGGGACTATTCAGTATCAGGGAGCTGGATTGGTTCTGGGGAGTGCTCAACTGTCCTCGCAGCATCCCTTATCAGCAGGCTCACAACTGACCGGCAGCAGCCTCGCTCTTCCAGGAGGGAATTTTTTGCTCAACACCATGACCCCAGGATCTAATGCACGGTTCCCCAACTATCCAGCTAATTCCATTGCTCCTAGCATAGCAAGCAGTGGGCCCAACATGGCTCCATGTGGTGCCCCAGACAGCTTCAGCAGACAAGCTGGGGTAGGCCTCATGGCTCCTGCTACCTCTCTTCTAGCTAACACTGGAACTGCTAACTCTTTGCAAGCAAGTGCAATGCATAATGCTCCTCTTCATACCTCAGCTGCCCAGCCTGCAGGATTAGCCCCGAACATTACAGCAAACCTAGTTTTTAATCCTGCACCTGGGCATTCTCTCTCGCAGAGCCAGCTGCCTCCTGACAGCTCTCCTCTTATAGCAAGACTGAAGTCTGATCCAGCCCAGGGACAAGGCCTTCAGACTGGCAGAGAAGCAAATCAGCTGCCCCTGGAATCTCAAGCACCCCAGTCAAAGGAGAACCTCACTCTCCGAACTCAGCCACCTCCAAATGCAGATGTTTTTTCTGGGGTGACCCCTCAGGCTCCCGCACCAGTGACCAGTGCAGAGAATTTGTCGAACAATAACAGTCAGACAGAGACCGGGTGTGTACCTGCTGGGTCTACAGTCAGTGTATCAGCTGGGGTTGTGGCTCTTGCTGAAGGACTTGCAGCAGGTGCGTCAGGAGGCAGCATGCAGGCAGCAGATGTGTCCATATCAGGTGTCTCTGCACCCAGTATGTCTACACAGAGTGTATCCTCTACAGGTGATGCAGTTACGACTGCTGCACTGCTGCAGCAGGAGTACCTGTTAGAAGAAGGAGGATCGCCCCCCAGGAGGAAACTGAAGCTGGTGCTTCCTGAGAAGACGTCCGGCCGACCACCCACTGCACTGGAGAGGAAAATACGCTAGCTATCGTAGTTAATGGTTGACGATCTAATTTAAAGTTTTAGATCAGACACAGAAAATACTGTAGATGAGACTGATGCATTCATCAAAATGTATTTTTTAGGATGTTTTACAGATGTTAAGTGTTTTATTTTTATAATTATAAACAGCAAAAAAAAAAAAAAGAAAAAGTGCTGGAGCCTTCAACCATACCACATGATCTTCACCAGCAGATGGAGTTTCCTCAGTTGTCACATAAAGGACTCATTGTCTATGTTGGCTTACAAGTTGAGATTTAGTTGAGTAAGAATCTCTGCTTTTATTTTTAAGTTTCAACCTCACTTCACTAACAAGACAAAACTTGACCACGCCTGTTGCATGCAGCTTCTCAATTCACTTTACACAAAGAAAAAAGAATCACGAAATACGAAACATATTTTAACTCACACTGTCTTAGCTACTGGCACTTTAGGCTGCACATTCAGCTTGAAAGGCAAGGAAATAGTATGCCAAAAGTTCACAAAAATAGGTTTAGGGTTTAGGGTCGCCAAAGCTTCACAGGGGGTCAAGAGGCCTTCTTCTTTTTAAGGGGGTGTAATAAAATGTTGTTTTTAAAGTTTGTAAATTTGTAAGTATGTATGATTGTTAAATACATAAAAACACATAATACAGACAGAAGTGGTATACAAAGTTACTACAAATAAAACCCATCTCTGATTGTTGGATGTGATCCCTGTTTCTGGATGTGTTTTTATTTTTTTTTAAACTGCTTTTTTAAACTCAGATTTCATGTATACGTGGTGTGCTCTTTATTGTATGACCGTTTTCCTAAATTGTACTCTTTTTTTAAAATGGCAGTATATCACCTGCCTTCCAGTATTACAGTACACTTTTTTTTTATTGAATCCTAACCCCTGTATCTTGATCCTTATGTTATTGCCACATACTTGCCAGTACACAGCCCTGTTAGCAACTTGTTGATGAAGATCATGTGATATGATCAAAAGTACCAAACAGTTACTAAATGGACCTTGATGTGAGATCAATTGCTGTTATGTGGTATGGTGGTTTTTATTTGTACTTTTAAATTATGATTGCTCTCTGACGCTAGCGGTCAGCATTATAACAATGTTCTGAAACTGCTCCGAGCACTAAAGACAATATTAAAAAGAGCAGGGGAATGCACATAAGACTACAACTTATATAATAATAATCCTGTGATCAAGGCCACACATCAACCTGAGCAGGAGACGAACAGCAGACTTTGACCTTTGTGCTGATTGTAGCAGGCTGCCGACAGCCGAGGCGTCTGTGTCACTGCTGGGTTGGGTTTCGGTTTTGGCACCAGGACGGCTGTTTGCAATGTGTTGGGTTTCCCTGGTCACACTGCGACCTCTAAACGCTGCCTATAGGCAGTTCAGTTAACACTTATCAAACCTTTACCGTCTGCGCTGAGGTGGTGTTAGCTCAGCCCTCCGCTGTGCAGAACCCTGAGTCACTGTCATCTGTGAGCCTTCAGATCAGTTTTGACTCCTTGCTAGAACTGAATGAGATCATGGAGAAGATGTTTCACACCATGGTATCAGTGATGCTGCTAAATCTAAAAAAATCTAAAACAGGAAGAACAGCAGACGCTCCTGTTTTGTGCTATAAGCAATCCAGCAGGTTTCCAGTCCAAACTCATAGAACATAAAGTACTCAACAGTCAATGAATTAATCAATTATCAGACAACAGGCAACAACTCTGAAACCTTCATTAATAGATTGTTCTGCCACTTGGGGGCAGTGCAACAAACATTAACACCTTATAAAAGTTGATATGGTGAACATGTTTGCAAATGGCCGCTTCATTAGACAACCTAGCAACATTACCATTCATTTGGAGTCGTGTTTCTGGTCACATGATGGATGTCATTTCACTCTCTTTTAGCTCTGTTTTGGTCTGTACCAACTCCTCAGAATAATATCTATCATCTAGTCTCTAACTGTGTCTGTCTGAGGCTGGGCAGGTAGTGTACAGTGGGTTTATCAGAGCTTTCAGCTGAAAACAGCTGCCGGCTGGTAATGAGCGTGCTCTTATAAATGAGGTTTATGAGAGCAGTGTCAGATTTTACCAAACCAAATTAATGGAATGGGCTGAAAGATGTTAAAATGCTCTGTTAGTCCTGGTGATATGTACCAAATTTGCAGTCATATGTTTTTTTTCCTTTTTCATAAAAGCATGAAACTGGGTACTTTTGTAGTTTGGGGCCCTGAACATTTTCAGAGATGGAGCCATCACAAAAACAGCTTGTGGCGGCCATTTTACTTAACTGAATTACCAGTATGTATTTTGCAACATGTCTTATTAACCAAACATGATAATACAGAAAAGATTATGTCTCACCTGTGTTTTGATGGTCAAGGATTACAATAATACCATATACAACATCATAAAGTGTTCAGGTGAATCGTTAATGGTGAATTCAGTGACGTTGTGAGACGGAAATCACAGTAAGTGAGAACCTAGTCTAGACTTTGTAATATCATGTCTGTTGGCTATATGTCATGTAGAGTTTTAAAGGACCAGTGTGTAGGATTTAGTAGCATTTAGCGGTGAAATTAAAATACTGACAAGTGCAGCTTTAAAGGACCTCTGCCGCAGTATCCAGGGTCCTAGGAGTTACACATTTGACTTTCCATCTTAACACTTTTCAAATAGAAAAAACAACACAGAGGTGGATTAAGAGTGACCTAAAGCACCTTAAAACCACAGCTTAGTGTTGTCTTAAACTGTGAACTGTGCTGAAATTCAAATGATCTGCAGTGGGCTGGATGAGAGTAGGAACTAGGTGCAGCTCTTGCGTGTTTCCATTAGGGGGCAGTGTGCATCTGCCGACGTACAGAGAGGCAGCCACTGTGTAACTGTAGCTTAGACCCATGACAGGGACATAGAACTGAAATGGCACTTTATGGAGACGGAATGTAATTAAAGCAGATCAGCTTGATAGAGGCTGTGTGTACAACCTGAACACATTATTTTACAATAAAAACTAATTTATTCAAGGAGGGGTAGACAGAACAGAATTAAACCAGTTTTTGACATTTGGCATCATCTTTCAAAATATCAAAATGTCAAATTTATACAGCAGTCACATTTTGTGGAACTTGGATAAAGGTTTAACTGCTGCCAGTGGTGATAGTCAGCACAACAAATAGATGGACCTGAAGTATGGAACCGAGAAAAAACACACCACATAGACTCATAAATAGTTAGGCAATATGATTGATAGAGACTACTAACTACCAGCCTGCACTACACCCCCAGCACCTTGTACTGTTAGCAGTAAAGTCACTGTGTCCCCAGGCATCTGTGTGTGGAATGCAAATGTTGACTGCAAGTGAAGAAACGCCTGGTGGGCTCTGACTCGCCCCCACACCCACTGCGGGCTAAATTCTACTGGAAAATGGAAATGTATATAAATGACTTGAGATTTATACTCGTGTAAAAACTATTAGTCTCCCCTCACCTCTGGCACAGTCACTACTCTACATTAGTGCAGCCGATAGAGCCCAATTGATTATTAATCATTTTGCCTGCCAGTGTCAATCGGACCAATAACCATCCAGATGAGGAGTTCCTGTTGTTTAAACCATAAACACAACATCAATGCATCCCAGCGGCTCTTAATCTTGCAATGAGCAACAAACAGCCTGACATCTAAAGGTGCAATTTATATTTATATGCTTTACATAAATGTTTTATATATCTTTATATATATATCTTTTATTTTACTAAACTGTGAAACCAGATAAGTTAATTTAACACAAAAAATTGTTGAAACTGATTACAAACATTTTAAGTAAAACTAACTAAATTTTGTAAGTTAAAAAAAACCCATTCTTGATTAAGTAGCTTTAGTAATTTGAGGTGACATTAACCTAATTTTGTAATTTTTCAGCTTTTTCATGGAATAGCACCACCTATTGGAGACAGGATGTAAGCCTTGTATGGCGGTTGTGATCTGATCTATGTGACATTTTCACAGCCTGGTCTACACCACAACTGCAGAACGCTCTGACGTGCGCAGACTGCGAGGGCCCGATCATCGCTGCTATTATCTTTATCTTCTATCTTTTATCTTATAATGCGGCTCCATTATGACTAACTTTGTAAACCTTTATTCGCAATAGAGTGAAAACTTGGAAAAAAAAATTTTTTTTAATGTGTGCAACGTACAAACAATTTTTTAAAGTCCAGATGTAACGCTGATGAATCTGGAATACCTTTGAAGAACCAACAGGGCCAGTGTTAAACAGCTGTCTGGGTTTACATTTGGGATTGACCTTTCAGTAAAATAAATGCTTAGCTCTATGACTCAAATGTAATGCTATTAGCATGGACACAGCAATGTTTTCAGCTAAATGCTAACCGCTGCACGCTAACATGCAGATATTTTACAGGTATAAGTGTTAATCATCTTCTCCATCCTGCTTTAGCGAGTTAGCACTAACACAAAGTAAAGGTGGTTTGAAAGGACCAGTGTGTAAGATTTATTGATATCTAGCGGTGAAGTTGCTGAAGCAAATAAGTGAACACCGCTCAAGTATGAATTTATGACCTGGGAATGAGAATGTTTGGTTTGGTCTTATATTCAGTTGATACACTAAACACACACATATAGTATAAATACTATTTTCCATTTCTGATCCTCCTAAATGTTACACACTGGACCTTTAAGTGTATTTGGTCATAGTTTAAAAGTATTGGAATAATTTTGACCTGATGATGGCGCTAGATCACAAACGTTATAACAATTAACCACATGGAGCATATTAATGTCTACCAAATTGCAATGGTCACCAAAGTCAGTTGGATTAGAGTTCATAAATACTGGTCCAAAATCTGATAAATCCAAGTGTTTCAGTCTGGACCAACCAACAGACATCTCTAGTACAGCAACATAGCTCATGTGGCTAAGAACCACTTTAATGAAATTACTGTTAAAACTATTTTGTCTAGATCCGATCTGAGCTAACAGAGGTTAAAAATACATATTTTCCGAGACTTCAAAGACATCTGTTTTGCAATTAAAGCTTAGCTACTTTGCATAAATGCAAAGGCCAGGATACAAACACAAAGTGTGCAGTGTCGCAGGAGTGGTAAAGGTGTACATTATTATGTGCAGTTCATTAAAGCAACTGTCAAAAACTGTTCAGAAATAAACAGCATAAAGGAGGCAGGTTTTGGAGTAATGACTGCACATCAATGCAGCACTGACTTTATTCTCAAACACATTATTAGAATCTAAAAATAAGAAAATCTTCATGGTTGTTGTTGCCCAGAGTCCTTTCATCTGCCAAAAAACACATTAATACAAAGAGATACAGAGCGAGAGAGACGTGTCTCTCATCATCATCATCATTAACACTAAAACAAAACTTGATTTGATTAAAAAAAACAACATTAAAACACAGCCAACCCAGCAACAGTTATAGTTTCTTAAATAGCCTCTGTACACAGAGAAATAGAGATGACAAAAGAGACCATGCAACCCAATCAGCCACTCTGCCTTCTCATTAACACTTCACACGCTCACACACACGCACGCACAGTTTGGATCCAAATCAATATTATCAACAGACATATGCCAGGAGGAGGAGCTGTCATCGTACAAAGGAGTATTTTTGTTTCTTTTTTTTTTTCTCCAACAAAGAATTGTTTGACATTTCATTATTTCAAGGACTAAAATACATTGAATTTCTACCCTGCAGATCTGAGCCTCACTGCCAGAGAACAATGAAAGTTCTTTAATCGTACACAATTATTCACAGTCAGCGCCTGGTTAAAAAGGCAACACTGCTCCACCTCTTTTCTCTTATTTGTCTTTAGCTGAATAAAGCAGTGTGAATTCAGCCATTATCGCTGCGTTCAACACCGCTTCTGTTCAGAATCACAATACGTTTTCTGTCTCTGCAGACAGTGTGTGGGACTTCAGTCCACACTGCATCAAACTCAAGGCTTATATTCATATAATTAAAGAACCAGTGGGGAAACACAGTTTGTGTACTATTTGGTTATCAACCTTTTGTTTGTGTGCTGCATTCAACTGACTTTGGCCGTAGAGGGATACAGCAACTACAAGGTTAAAAAAAAAGTAATCAACAGCTCAAACCATTATGTTACAGCAATGTACACTTGCTCATCAGAGCCTTTTGGAACTGACGGTAAACACCATCTTTACAAAATGAGGAACTACATATGAACTTTTTAGGGCAGACAGGAAACTAGACAGAATATCCCTTCTTTCTGAGGGAGTTTGGAGTATATACACCTATCATCATGGTTTACATTGTAGGACCTGCTGCTATACACATTTTCAATTCAAATCATAGCAAGTCTCATGCTGCAAAGGATCAGTACAAAACAATACAGCCAATAGCAGATGTCAGACCAGCCAAGGGACATGCAGGAGCCCTGTTCTTAACACTGTCCTGTTGCCCCTTATTAGAGACATTAGTAATAGACAGAAATGTCCCATTATTCTACTGCTTGGGCTTTAGTTTGAAGTGCTGAACTCGAGTTTAATCAAATGAAAGGTGGTCTGTTGGTTGGGTTCTCAGGGGGGTTGAGGTTGGAGTAGGGTGGCCTGGGTCCATGTAGAGATGAGGCTAGAGGTTCCGTGGTGTGGCAGTAGAAGGGCTTGGTTGAAGTTTGGTGTCACTTTGTCCTGAGATTAGCTCAGATAGAGGTGTTTGTCTCTCTGAAGACCTCTGCAGGAGGACAGGAGAAACAAAAAGTGAGGCCACAGTCACCAGTGCAACAGTATCTGACATCTGTTGCGTTGTTTAAGCACATGGGGCTGATACTAAACATTATATATATATATATATATATATATATATATATATATATATATATATATATATATATATATATACGAGCTTTGGAACCCTAGTACAAACAACTATTATCTATGTAAAGATATAGTGGAGTTATGGTGTCACCCTCTGCCTGTGTTGCTATCGCAGCCTCACTGTGGTTTGTTTCCATAGCCAGTCTGCTCCGTGTGCAGCTGAGTACAGAAACTGTTTTTATCATCAACGTCTGTGAATTAAGGATTTATTTCAACCAAAGCAGAGCTGGTGATTGTTGGAACAGTGGGAAGACTAACAAAGACAGTTTCGGTGAGTTTTATTTTGTTTCTGTCCACTTTAGAATTAAGTTATGATGTTACAATGATATGCAAGGTAAATTTAGCATTTTTGTCTATGGAGTCTGGTGGTGAGTGATACCAATATTACGGGCTGTTTCTGGTCAAACAAAAGGTATATCTCTGTAGAGATCCTTAGACACTTAGAATAACAATCCGAGCACTTTTAGTGCACGTACTTTGATGGCCGCAAAGATTAACATTAGCTTATGTTGCAGCCGTTGCTGCCTTTTTCATCAATATATTCACATGTAACGGTCTATTAAGGGTTTATTTTGACCAAACCAGCCTTGGTGATTGTTCAAAACACTAGCAAAATCGGTTTTGGAAAGTTCTATCTTGTTTCTGTCCCATTGTTTTGGTCTGAAATGCTGATGCTCTAGTGCGACATCCAGTGGCAAGTCAACCTTTAACCACACCCAACAGTGAAGTCACAGTGTCCTGGAGTACACCTGTACATCACTGCAGTAAGATGAGAAGGAGGTCAGCAAAAACAAGACTTTCAAGGCGAGTTCCTCTTTAAGAACAGTCGCAGTCTACCTACCCGTTTCCATGGTAATCATTGCTCCAATCCAGAGAGGGATGGTGGTTCGGCGTGTGTCGACCCAGCTGGTGGTAGTCCATTGATGATGTCATCACTGCTCCACTATTAAGCATACCTCCTCCTATTGGCTGGTAGTCAGACTGGAGGGAGGGGGCGTAGCCCTGGAATAAAAAAATGTGGTTAATAAAGAGTGTGCATGTTGGCATTTTAAAAACAATGTCAAGTTAATTATTGACTTGTTTACCAACAGAGTCAACAGTCGGAGCTGCAGCAGTAGCTCAGTGATGCAATTTGCATCAAAAATCTTTTTAGTTTTAGACACTTTCAGAGGACATCATTTCATATTATTTCCCTTACAAATAAACTTCCATAATCCCCTAAGAAATCAGAGACAGAAAGATGCTCCTTATAACATCAGAACTTGCCTGAGAATAATCAGTTTTCAAGTTTTCTTAATTATCAAAGCGATCTCAGAAGGCTTTACGGTGTAGCCAGGGGATACCTCGAAACTGATATCAGGGCTAGACTACCACTGCAGTCCGATTAGCAATTACAATGATGAAAGAGACATTTTGGCTAATCTAAACTGATATCGGCGTATGAATGCAAATGCTAATAAAAAAGCTAAATATTCGTTAGATAACAGACGATGGATAACAAGATTGCATTTTGGTCAATGTGTTCCGCCTGCTCTCCACACTGACTGTAGCATGCAACCAAAGCCTGATCAAACATGTCGGTCAACACTACTCGGACTACAAATGGAAACCAGAATGCTTCTTTGTTCTTCATCCACAGATTAATTCAGAAGCACTCATACCTATTTCAGAATACTTTTAAATTTGCAAAATGTACACTGACTTTGAAAGGCCTTGTTTTAGTTTATAAGCTTTGTCTCAATGGAGTTCCTTTGTCCATGTTTTCAACATGGTCCAGGTCATATTTCTTGGCAAAGAAAGTAAAATCCTTTACATTCATCACTGTGTTATTGTGCAGGTTTGAATGTGAGATGCCAGCGCAGTAATGGTGGCTTGTTTACGTCCTCCTTCAACCTGAATGAGTCCATAGACTCAGCTAATGGTTTTAGCAAACCAACCTTTAGCACTTGTTGGTAAAATGGTTTCTGATTAACAGGGACGTGAATGAATGAACTCAAGTGAAAAGGAGACAGATCACTCACAGGTTCATCAGCAGTAATTACAGTTTAGAGTGCTGATTTTATCATCTGCCAGGAGGGACGAGTGAAGAGGAGATGAAAAGGTAGGAGGAGAGGAGAAAGCAGGGGAAGGAGGAGGAGGAGGAGGAGAAGGAAAAGGAGGCAAGCATGTCTCTAACCAGAAGATACTTGAGGGAGGAGAGAGAGATGGAAAGAGGGAAAATGAGCGAGTGCAGTGACAAAGTGCAGGAGTGTGTGTGTGTGTGTATGTGTGTGTGAGAGAGAGGCTGAAAGGGAAGTTAATCTGAGTGTTGTGAGTGAAAGAAGAGAAAGAGGAGGACAGCAGGTGGTTTGGTTCTCCCCCCTCTCCTCCCCCTCTCCTCCCCCTCTCCTCCTCTACCTCACCTATTCATCCATTGTTGAGCAAATTCTTCTCCTTCACTCCTTCACAAAGACCCCATCTGCCTCTTTTGTCTCTCTCTCTCTCCCCTCTCTTTCCCCCTCTCTCTTTCTCCCTTCCCCCATCATTTCTCACTCTTCTCGCTCAGAGAAAAAAAAAGTTTAGAGCTCTGTCACTGTGTCCTCTCTTCTTTCCTTCACTTTTTCTTTTTGTTTGCTCTCTTTTTTTTTGCTAAAAATATGCAAAATGAGGGAGAGAGAAAGGGGGATTATGGGAGTCTGGGATTTAAAAGTGCACTATAAAAAGGGGGATAAAATTGGAAGTGAGACTCAGTGGCAGTCCATCCCCCCCATTTTTTTACTTGTTGGAGGAGACACTCGCATCATGTCGCAGCTACTCGTCTTCCTCTTCCTTCTGTTTTGATAGAGACGATCAACAGAGCAACTGAGAGATGAAGAGGCAGAAGGGCTGACTGACTGATTGACTGACTGGATTACATTACAGAAGTCCGACCAAAATTCACTCAAAAACTGATTGAAAATGTTTTTTCCATAAGAACTAACTTGACTATTATAATTGTTGATTGTCTGTATGTTATCACATCTATTCATCTATTTCTACAAACAGGTCAACTAACAGCAAAGTTTAAGACAACTGGATAATGTTTGATTAATGCAATTAGGAGAGGCGGGATTTATTTCAAAACACATTTTTTCAATTCATTACAGGTCTCGTCTATTTAATACTGAGGTCCACAAGGAAATGCTGCTGCCCTCCCTCCGGCTCTAGCACCCATCTCATTTCTACTGTGTGTTTGTGTTGACATATTCATCTGTCTCCATCCAACTCTGTGCAGATTTTAAATCAGCTAGCTGACCTCCAGGAAATGGGAAGACTGTGTGTGTGTGTGTGTGTGTGTGTGTGTGTGTGTGTGTGTGTGTGTGTGTGTGTGTGTGTGTGTGTGTGTGTGTGTGTGTGTGTGTGTGTGTGTGTAGGAAATGGTTTGATGACCCATGAGGGGCACAAATTGAAGACTACTGAGGAAACAATAGCTGCGTCCCAATTCTAAAAACTAAAGACTTCACACTACAGGAGTGGCAAACAAAGTATACACACAAAAAGATGGTTGGTCTTTGAGTGGACACTATGAGACAGAGGAAATAGAGACACTATAGCAAACAATTAAAACAGAAAATAGGAATGAGATTGCTCAGCAACATCTTGGAAAGCAAAAGGAAGTTTTAAATCTTTAGAAAAACACGTTGTCTCTTTGTTTGATGTTTGACGGCACATTTCATCATGTTCTCTTAGTATACACAAGAATAAAGTATGTGGCCTTCTTGTATGCTAACTGCAAAAACACTGTTATAACACTGCACCAAACTCTTCAAAGTAGGGATGGGACGATATACAACATTATTGCATATCACGATAAAAATGCTCAATACATTTATTGTGGATAATTTCCATTATCTGAATAATCATCAATATCCTCACATGGTTTGACCAGCATACAGTCCTATATTGATGTTCTGATTTATTTTGAACAAGCGGACAAGGTATAGACTACATCGTTTCAGTCATTCCAAAATCCTAATCCTGTCACCATGGCTGAAGGCTCGGCTGGCCCGTTGTATAGCCACGAAAAAAGAGGTCTGGAAATAGTATTTCCAAAATAAAGAACAAGAAACCCATCTGTGATGCAATAAATATGTGTTTCTTAACAAAATGCAAGGTGATTCCAGTATAGTTTAGTGCCATTTTGAAAGTATGAAGCATATTTTCATGATTATCGTGATAATGTGTGTCGCAATTATTTTGGCCAAGATAACCATGACATGAAATTTTCATCCCATGCCTACTTCAAAGTGTAAAACAAAACCCTAAAGACTAATTGCGTTACTATTTAATTCCTCTTTTCTTTTTGTTTTTGACAAAATAATTATGTAAAATGATAAGATGATGTGATCTCATAATCACAGTTTATTTGTATTGAAAATCAATAAATAGTAGGGGTGTGAGAAAATACTAGTGCACTTGAGTATTGTGATATGCTGGATGTTACAGGGATTATGATAGATATATCCCACTGTTCTGGTTGCATAAAAAAACTTTTATTCAGATTTTATTCATGTGTATTCTTTATACTGACAGCTTTCCTAAAATAAAATATTGAATTGTAATCCCTGTATCCTGATACACATAAACCAGATTCTTGCCAATATGCAGCTATAATCAATAGTTACAATGAATTATTGCCAAGCCCTTCAGAGACAAACATGTCTGTCATGTAAAAACACAAAACACATAACACATTTTATTAAGTCATTTGCATCCCCTTCGTTTGGCATGAGTAAATCTTTTGAAATCAATCAGTTTCACCCGGGGGAGTAAACCCAGACACTCTTTAAAATAACCACAATATTTTTTATGATCCTGTATTTTATTGCTGCAGTCTGTGCTTTAAAGCATTAGTCTGCTTGGATAAATAGCAGCTTTGAATATTTACTTTCTCTGTGCTCTGCCTGAAAATTCCTTTTTGCTATTGGACTGAAAATGTCAGTAGAAAAATTAATAATGGTGGAAAATTCAATATGACACAGTTTGATGGTCTTGACAGTTTGCAGAGAATGGATGGCTTGACATACTCAAAACATTTCATGTCACTTCAACAACTATAGTGGTAAATATGAAGTTTTTTTTATTCCACATTTCATATTGTCCTCAAATCCCATGAAAAGACCCAAACCAACAATGAAATGATCCTCCTAACAAGTATTGTGTATTTCAAAGCCTGATATATCTTTTTCCTCTGTGCCATAGAACTCCACTGTCTGACTTACTGAAAACTATCAATTAACAAACAGACGGAGACCAATGCACAGTCCCAGTCAACCAATCGTTAAGTCAGAAGATGTACACTCAGGGTGTGACTCACCTGTGTGATGGCAGGTGAGTGCGTCATTCCCAGTGCATGTCCACTGAGCTGCTGGTGCTGATGGTGTGGACTGTGCAGCCCCCCCAGGTGGGCCTGGCTGTGGAGGGGGGGGCTGACCTGGAGAGGAGGAGTGGATGCCGCCGTCATGTTGCAGAGGGACAGAGCTCCCTGGTGCGGGACGCTTGGCCGCGGCACCGTCCCTCTGGAGGACAGAGCCTGGAGCTGGGGGTGGATCTGGGTGTGAGGAGGGGGCAGGTGCTGGCTAAGGCCGGGGCTCGAGGCATGGGAGGGGTGTGAGGGGTGGGGGTACGTCATGTACATGCCTGGGTGCTGATGGGGAGGGAGGGAGTGAGGGTGGGCGAGTGAGTTGGAGGAAGGGTGTTGGCCTGGGTGCTGGCCTGGGTGCTGGCCTGGGTGCTGGCCTGGGTGCTGGCCTGCGTGCTGGCCTGGGTGCTGGCCTGGGTGCTGGCCTGGGTGCTGGCCTGGGTGCTGGCCTGGGTGACCAGGGTAGACTGAAGGTTTGGGTGTAAACATTGAGGTAGAAGAGGAGGAAGACGTGGAGGAAGAGTGGGGCGGCTTCATTTCAGATGGATCATTGTAGCTCTGGAGAACAGGAAAAGGTAAAACAGAAAGTCAGTTTACAGGTTTCACACTAAACTGTTCACTCCTTTAAAGCATCAGTTAAATACGTGTGTGTGTGTGTGTGTGTGTGTGTGTGTGTGTGTGTGTGTGTGTGTGTGTGTGTGTGTGTGTGTGTGTGTGAGAGAGAGAGAGAGAGAGAGAGAGCACCTGTGAGACGAGGCTGGCCCTGTAGGCAGCCAGTTGTTTCAGATACTCCTTCTTAGCCGTCTCTGTCCTCTTCTTGTACAACTGAAACACAAACATTTTACTTCTCTTTACTACTGACTATCAACTTTTATTACTGTTTACAGTGTAGGAAAATACAATTGTTACAAATCCATTTAATCAGCAGTACCTAATTAGTAACCGTTTTTATTAAAGCTGAGAATTATCAACAAAGTGCTGTGAGACATGAGTCAGATTTTGGCTGCATTAAATCATACTCAGGTGTAACCATCACAGGGCTTTCCCTCAGCTGACACAGTTAACTAATAGCACATAACAACAATAATGAATTCCCAAGGCGGCTATTAAAAACTCTGAATGTGAACTTTGTTAAATTCAGTTGACATGCCACTTGTAGCAACTTTGTGAGCTCAGTAATGATTTGTGGTCTCAGTGGTATTGTTAGAGCTGATTTTTCCCTGCAAAACTGTTGATTCCTGTCAGACGATGGAGCTACTCACTGTCCCTCTCATGCTTCTGAGTTTTACTGACGAAGATAGGCATGATATTTCTATCCACTGGGCTTTCTTTTACCATCTGCCATTGCCAAAACTCAGAAACAAGATGAAGAGTCTACAGCCATGCTAGCTTCTCTGTGAGGCTGTACTAAGGCACAGGGAGCTTTGAGCTAAATGCTAAGCTCAGAATGCTGATGTGGCCTCAATGACAATGATAACATGCTGATGTTTAGCAGGTATAATGTTTACCATCTTAGTTTAGCTGGTTAGCATTAAGTGTTGAAATGTTCAGAAAATTGCAATATTTTGTTTTGTGATATTGTATAAATTCTCAAAAACACTGTATCGATACCTATACCAGGTGAGCTACCAGGGAGTCCCACAGACACTTCGCTGCTACACAAACAAATATATTTACCATTTTAATGTTTCCAGATGTTTGATATCAGGACGTTGACCTGAGAACTGACAAGTTGAATGTTGTCCAATTAAAACGGACCTACCGCGGTGACGTTTGTGGTGGAGCTGTTAGTTTAATAGTCGACTTGGAAGGCAACGTTTGACAATAAGCTACATCAACACAACAGTATGTGGAGTAAACGACAGCCCCAAAACCGGATAGTTCACTGTTGTTAAATTGCAATGTGAGCGGCAGCCAACGGGGTGCATTATGCGGCAGGATCATTTAAAAGGCAACGACTACATTGTCGCTGCCCCATTTCGAACCGTGGCGGCAGAAATTTAACAGCTGCGGGCCGCCGCTCCAAAATCAGCATACAGGAAACACTGTGCATATAACACCTTGCTTACAGTACTGCAATATATCGCAATATACTATATCGTAACCCTCTTTCGTGATGCATAGTGTATTGCCAAATTCTTGCAAATGCACAACCCTGGTGAGCATGCTAACATGAGATACTTTTAACTGGACACAAAGTACAGCTGAGGCTGATGGGAATACAATTACAGGTTAAGGAATTTAGTCACAAATCGCTAAAAAAGTAGCACAAAGTAAGAAAATTTGACGTAATGGTGCTGCTAGATGAATTCAATTCATGAGATCTCCAAAGCGATTCCAATTCTCATTGTGGGGGACATGAATACATATACCAAATTTCATTGCAATCCATCCAATATTTGCTGAGATATTTACAAAAATGGAGGATGTACCTGTTTCTGTTCCTCTCCCAGACCGTCCCACATGGAGGCCACGATCTTTGACACTTCCCCGAAGGTAGCATTGGGGTTCTGGGCTTTGATGTTGGCTTGGGTGTCCCTGAAGAACAAGGCATAGGCAGACACTGGCTTCACTGGCTCATTAGGGTCCTTTCGCTTCTTCTTCTTTGGTGTTTTGGGTTTCTTGGAGATATCCACTGTTGCTGGCCTCTTCTCTCCTCCACTGCCCAGCTGAGAGGAGAAGAAGGAGGTTGAGTAGGACACAGTGAGGCAAATGGAAGGATGGACAGGGGGATGGAGGGACTTTATTTCAGTAGCAAAAATTGAGCAAAAACTAAAACAGTGGTATGAAAACAGCATATTTGGCAGTGTGAATTTTGTGTAGTAAATTGACTTCATCATGTCAAATCAAATGTCAAATATTACTGTTAACCTGGTATCTTAACAATTCACACCTCACACCTCTGTCTCTTACATGACATTTGACTTCAACCGTTCTGTCAAGCTATAAATCAACCACAGGGAACAAATATGGGAAACTCCCCACCAGTCAGTAGAACAGTTAGAGCCTCTCAGATGAGTGCTTAAGAATCATCAAGACTACACGCGCACACACACGCACCTTAATAATTTCACAGGATGTTTTCCTGAACGAACCATGTCATTTGGCACTAATTACTAATAAAATAGAGACAGGGTTCAACTGGTGCACCTAATTAGCAGTTAATAAATTCCAATTAAATGCTGGCTTTTAGTCAGTGCACAGCAGTTTAGCTGACCAAGCAGAAATGTGAAATTTGTTAAGAGACAAGCATATGGATCAATAAATATGAAGAATAAAGTTTCCAATAACAATAAATGATAAATACATAGCCCCTAAAAGTTGAGATAAGCCTACCAGAGGTAGAACAAAGCACACACACGTTTTTCATAACTTTACCATGTGTAGTTTTTGAAATGGATGGTTGTACAAAATGATTTTGCTGCAAACTAACAAACTACGCCCCTTACTTCAAGGACACGCCTCCCAACATTACCTTCAAAAGTGATAGAAAATAACTTTGTAACACAAAGAGAGCTAGAACATTGAAAATTGATGTATTGAGCCAAGAGAGATTATTTGATTCCATATTATCCATATCCATAACGTCGCAAAAGGGTATGACTACTCCCATATACCGCTTTGGGTAACATAACTACAAACAATTTTGTCTGCAAAACGCAACAAACATCAACAAACTTTGTTTTCTTCAATGACTGCAACAAAGCCATCTTATAATGCACATGTAGCTGGTATGATTGTGTTTACAGGCACACAACTTCTGCATGTCACCCCCATGTCATTTCCCTATAGTGGCCACCCTAAAGACGTTGGAATGGTTCTGCAATGAAGATTTTTTTTTTTTACCTTCCAAATTGTTGCCACCCGGTTTCAGCAACAAAAGCCGGGAGACTGTTCAGAGACTGACTGAGTCTGCAGCCTTTCCCCACAGGACTCCAAAGCACTGTTCTTTTTGTGACGGCTTCCAGATTGGTACACTGATCCCCTTTCTAGTTCTTCTTCTGACCATACACAATGAGTGTGTGATGTCTGGCTACAAGCAACAAATCCTCAAGATTTGTTGTTAAGTGACTTAGGCCTATCAGCTCCTCCAAGTGCTTCTGGCGTTTTGTGAAAGCAATTGTTTTTCCTATTTGGCGAAAACTGCTCGTCATATTACAGCCCGCAAGTGCATGGCAAGCAGCAAGGCACAAGGCTTTCCACTTGCCTCTCTGTCTGTATGGACTTTGTGTATTCGGATGAAAACTAAGACAAACATGCTTCGACTTGCATAATACAAGAGCAACACAAGTGTCATCACACTCATTGCTATCGGGTGAAGAAAATATAAGTTGTGTTGGCTTCGTTTTTACAGGAGGTACTTGATAAGCAGTATCAACAAGGCTGGGCTTTCCGCTTTGTTTGCAATTACACAACCAGCTCAGGTACACGTAGACTCACTGAGGAACAGACGATCATCTCAGCCAGAGGTTTTGAAGATACAGAAGAAACCAAAATCATCCAAAAGGATGCTGTGGAGAACCTAGCTGATGAGATGGGGGATCAAGAAGAGGCTGAAACCAAGAGAGTGCTACATGGCATCCATTTCACCAAGACATCATCATCATCACATGCTTGTATTGTGCAAGTTGCTGCATGTTTGGCCTAATGCACAAATGCCACACAGGCAAAGAGGTCTGTGCCAATCAAGTGAGTCACTGAACCAGTGATGTATGAAAAGGCAGAAGAAGTGCAAGATCTAACACATCTCTACTGCAAGGACAAACAATGCAGTCAACAAAAGAAACATCCTTGTTTTGTTTTTTTTTGTTCAAGAGGCAGAAATACAACATCCAGAATGCAATCTGATGCTAAAATTTTTATACAACCAACCATTTGAAAAACTAGACATATTAAAGTTATGAAAAAACTTTGTCTCCATTTTCCCTGCATTGCTCCTAATAGGAAACTTTAAAAAGGAAATAGTAGATCTTTAAAACAAAGAGTTAATTAAATGTATTTCAATATGTAATTAATGGTAACACAATATTTTCTGAGCTTGTATTTGTATATCTTAAATACATAAAGTAGATTATGTCATTTTATTCTCGAAACACATTTTTATAGCCAGGTTTAAATTGTAGAAAAAAGCTGTCCAACTAAGTGCATATCATATTATATAAAATAATATGTTCATTCATTTCATTTTATAATTTATATTATATAAGATTTACATCATTGTGTTCTTAAATGTTGCTCTTTGTTCATTTGTAAAAATTGCCTATGTTTGAAAGGTGCTATTCAAATAAACCTGCCTTGCTGAATGAGAATTTCCCTGTAATTAATAAAAGCTATAAGTGGGTACAGCTAATATTAAATGTTGTATTACTTCGCAAAAGCAGCCAATATTTACATGTGTACAACTGTATTATAAAAGTGAAAGCATGGTCTATTTTGTAGCAAGCATTAGCTGTATACTCGCTTATAATATTTCCTATCCACATCTCATTCTTCTATGCATAACCAATGAGAATAATGAAGTTGGTAAATATTATTCAGCAGTACAGTAATGGTTTCATTTCTGCAGAATATGAACAGTCAGTTTGGTGCAGAGTGCTTGTTTCAGTGTGAGACACCTAACAGTGAGGGAGCTGATTTCCATCTAGTTGATATGCAGGGAGAATGGGTCTATTATGACACATAACATTAACATAACAACTCTCCACTGTCTGCACATACACACCAATCACACAGGTATACACACACAAACACACAGCAAAACACAAATGGTTGCTACAGCCCATCGAGATATGACTCAGTGACTCATAGATAGAAACATGAGATACTGTGTGTGTGTGTGTGTGTGTGTGTGTGTGTGTGTGTGTGTGTGTGTGTGTGTGTGTGTGTTTTCATTTTTTTTTTACCTTGAGTCCATCATCATTGTCGTCCTCATGTGCTGAACTGGAGGGAGATGGTGTGGCAGATTTACTTCCAGGAGGTGAGGGAGAATTATGGGTAACAGAGTTCCCACTTAGCCCCAGCTGGGATTGGTTGATGGTGGACAACTGACTCGGCTGGCTCATGCCTGATTGGCTCCTGGGTCCAAGCGCTGCTTCGATTGGCTGTTGGCTGCTGGTGAACCGGGAATCAGAGTTGACCATCTGCTGCATCTGTGCAAAGACAGGAAGTGATTGTGACTGTTAGCAAATAAAGGAGAATATCAGGTTTCATTGGGAGTTTGATGACTTGCAGTGCTGAGACTCTCATTTTGACAACCTTGTCTGATTCATTATTTAGCTTCATCGCTCTTTATCTTCTGCTTTCTGCTATTGTTATTAATGCCTTGGCTTTTGATAGCCATGACCAAACACTGTAAAGTCCTGCACCTATAGGATGTCAGCCGGGCTACCCGAGTGTAATTTTCAGCCTTTAAAAAGGCGTAAAATATTTACCTCCGTCTTTCTCAGTGTGGGTTGTTTTCTACATGATTTGGCAGGTGATTGGCTATTTTCCACCATGCTCTGATGAAGGCCACTAGGTCGAAACTTTAGCATGTTTGCTGACTTGGCCAGTACAAATTGGTGAAATTGAGATTAGTCAAGTTTGTCCTGCTCTATTGGAACAAATGCCAACTGCTGTTCATTGAACATTACACCTTGAAAATGATCTGCTGTATTATATTTCTGTACCTGGACATACTATATGTGCTTTAGTGGCATTGTAGCCACTGAAAAAATTAGAATTTGTATAGAAAAGAGCTTTGCAGCAGTACTTAAAGAGATAGACATTTATCTCAGGGGTTGGTAGAGGCAAAACAGAGCTAAAATGACATAGAAATATGAATGCTTACAGTAAGTTACTGGATGTGTAAACAGGCAACTGTTTGCTAACACATTCACCACAACAACTTTAAGGCGACTAGCCAGTGGACATAGGGGAGCATTTAGCATCTAAAGATCCAGATATTTCTTTTGGGAGTTGGTGCAGACTGTATTTTAGTCAGGTCGTTGGAAACACAACTAAAAAAATCATGTGTTTAAGCAACTGTTTGCCAACACGTGTGTTGTATTTACAGCTTTTTCCACTACCCCCAAATGGAAAACAGACAGCTCGTACTTTGCCCTCAAATCAGGTTTGTATCTTGGATTCCGTAATGGACTGAACAGAAGGTGTGCCGAGACACTATCTGAGCTACATAACATGTTCACGTAACAGACCTCGTTGGGCTCTGAAACAGAGTGTGCCTTGCTTGACAGGGTCTGTACAGTGTGCCGCAGTCCAGGATTCACTAATAATGAAATCTGATAGTAACCGTGGCAACAGGCAATACAGGTCAGAAAGAAGATGGGATCAGAAGTCACACTGATGTGTAAATACACCCATAGAGACTCTAAACTGCATTTGCTTTGCTCCGGAGAAGTGGTTACATAACTTTATCTTGAGGAGACGTGGTGTCCACAGGTGCAGACTGAATAGATACAAGCTCTGGTTTATTCCCTTGTGCATCCACGTCCTCGATAATTTGTCAGAAAGCTGATGTATTGCCAGATATTAAGTGACCAGACAGTCCAGTTTTACTGGCACACCTGTGTCATGAATGCATAATGTTTCATTGTGCATCTTTCAAAGCAAACGTTTCCCAAGAGACAGTGAGAGGCATCTTGAATAAATCTCATATAAAGTGGAAGAAAATGTCAACATGCTTGAGTCAATATATATACAATCAAATAAAGTGAAGGGCATCTTATATATAATAGTTAGTTAATGTTAACTAGGGCTGCACAGTTGATCGAAATCAAATATGGCCAAGTGCAATATCCAAATTGCAGAAGCTGCAGTTGTTCGAAGGTGAACAGCATTATAATGAAGTACAGTAGTGCTGCAGATTCCCTGGTCAACAAATCTGGTTATACAGATGTAAAAAAAACATATTTGTTTGGTACAGAGCCCAATAAATGTCACATCATCATGATTTAAATTTTTTTTTTTAAATTCAAAATAATCTCAATATGTTTCTAAAATATTGTGCAGTCCTAATCTTAACGCATTTTAATATCACATTAAAATGTATGTTCATATAACTGCAACTTCTCCGCCATGAAACTAGAAGCCTCAAAGCACTTATTTGACTTTAAAGTTTAAAGCAGTAGTAGTATAGTTTGCTGTGTGAGCCCACTGTGTCGTGTCTTTACTGGCATTGCCAAAATGTGTGCAGTCTTGTAATGAGTCAGTCAGTCATCAGTCTTATTTTGTCCATTTCTGAGGAAAACAAAAGTTATCATTGCTGACACCCTCAGCGCGGGACCTTTGACACCTATCATCACAACTATGAAGACGGGACTCGGGTTGATGATTTGTATTTAGAGTTTCCTCTTAGTAAGCATCGAATAATAGCGGATGTGGTCTGTTGCGCTGTGCCCCTCTTGGGAACACATTACCTGAACTTGGTTACCGGCAGCAGCCTCTGAATGCTGCTGTGGTATTCAGATGGAACACAGAGTGACATTTCTCTAACATAGGAATCGGCTTTCAGATTGGCGTACGTGCTGGGAGAAATGTTGAAAAATAGTAGCTGTGGTTTGGCATTGGTTGGGTTGGGACTTCAATAAATGTCATATTAATAAACAGTCAAAACATCTTGCTTTCATAATCCTCTACAAAGCTTTTACTCTTTGTCAAATGTATTTGAAGGCTCGCCTCATTTACACAAATAGTAAACTGTTTGAAGACCTGATGAAAATACATTGATTTAAATCAATGTACCTTTTTACTGAAAAACATTACATTTTTGGAAATATGTCTTTGCAGATTAAATTTAATGACTGAAAATTCTTATATATAATTCCATTATATGTGACATTATCATATTATTATATAAATAACTGTGTGTGTTATATGCTTACACTGCCTGGCTGAGGATGACAGATTGGTACTGGCTTAACAAAAATGCACCACAGGAAAATGCAGAGTAAGATATTTAAAGAATGGAAAGAAAGTATTTACATCACTAGCAGTGTCTGTTGACAGGAACAGAAGGGTCACAAGGTCACAAACTTAAAAACTAGATGCATTACTAATGGAAAAAATATTAATCGGATTTTCCTTTGGGGGGCGGGGTCAGAAAAGCATTTGTGATGGTGGCCTAAGAGAATAACAGAGGGGGAACCCCAGCTGAAATCAGTGCGAGTAATGACTGACTCATGCCACGATAAGGGAAAAAGCCCTGGCACAGCACATCTTCACATAGGTGTGGTTAATGACGGGATTTCAATATAAAAAGTGCAGTTTTTCACCTAATGCTGTTTTTCCACGCCGTGGTGCGACTTGACTCTAGTTGCTCTCTTTTTGGTTTTCCATTGTCTAAAGTTAGGGATAGTACCTGGTACTTCTTTCGGTATCACCTCAGTCGAGGTTCCAAGCGAGCTGAGCAGATACTTTATGGTGGAGTGAAAACAACATGTGGTGGTCAATTGATGGAGTGCAGATGTTCCTCTGTTTGGTTGCTGATGAAAGGACCTCAAAAGGAAAGGATATCCAACTTAGTTCCTGTTTATTTAGGTCACGTTAATGATGTCGCAGCAGTTTCACATGGCGTTGCTACAACAATCAACTAAGAATCCTGACTACATACTCGAGCCAAGCCGAGCCGTACAATGCAGTGGAAACACGGCATAAATGTAAAAAAAAAAACAAGAAAGCCAAAGACTACTGATAACTAGTAATTGTTTATTTATAAAATTAATAACATTTAGTAATTCAATACTGCAAGTATTAGTTCATATTAAATTAAGAATTTGTAAAGCAGAACACTAAAGACAAAATCAAGCTTTAAAACAGTAACATGAAACACATGAATATGCAGTATCTCTATGTACAGTATTATTATTTTCCTGTGATCAATTGGTTTTCATTTTTATCTCCCCATTGTTGATTGATTTTAATTTTAAACATTTGTATCTGCCCTGTGATTCCCAATTAGGCAAATATCGGCTGATACCGATGTTTGGTCAAAATAATGTGCATCCCTATTTCAAAAGTTGTTTGTTTTTTTAAATTGATTAAACAATATCACCACATTGTATGTAGTCACTGTTCTGGTGCTTTGGATCATATCACATGATCTTTATCGGAGGATGGAGTTTGCCCAGTTGTCAGGGAATTGTAGGTGTTACAATTTCCATTTGTATGTTTATATCTTTCCATAAAAATGATGCTGATAATAACTAGGATGCCAGTGAGGTTACTTGTGATTACTATCTCTTAGACTGCAAACTTTTATCCAGAGCAACAGTGCAAACACCAAAATATTCTATTTACTAAAGCAACAAATTCTCACATGTGGAGTCACCATATATTTATATAAATCGACTAATCATTGCAGCTTTTTTGTGGTTGACTGATCCAACAGATATTTGATTTTAGAATGAGAAATGAACACTGTGTCCAGAACTATTATGCAAGGGTGGGAAATATAGATAAAATCTGGTGTCACGTTGTATGAAATTCTATGCTGCAATATTGGTAAAATGAAATACCTGTAATATCAAGGTACTTCATCAAATTGACAAAAGTGCTATAAATCCAATATCTCCATGAAACTTGGTACGAAATGCATAGTAAAATGCTCAAATTTGTGATGTATTTGTGCTTGGATTTTCTATCACTGAATGTTACATTTTTGTAGGGTGGTGTTCTTTTCTTTGTTCATCCACATCACTGCTCATGCAAACTACTCAGACATGGTGGGTTTAGAGCAAATGTTTTGTGAAAATGACTATAGGTTGAATCACTTTTTGTGTTAGTCAGTACACAACAGACAAAAGAAAAGAGAGTCTGGATGTTACTGGATGTAAGTGTTAAAATAGATTATGACTTTGAACCAGATAGAACAAAATCACTAGTGGAAAAGCACCAAATTAAGTTCCCTACGCCAATAATTTTAGATGTTAACCTTCAATCAGACAGCAGCCAAAACTAAAAAAGAGCAGTCCTGATCTCAATATTAACTGAGTAGTCTTGCCTCCTCTAGGAATAATACACACACACACACATTGACTTGAATCTTCCCCCTACCCACCCCGATTAGGTTGAGCCAGACATGGTTGCCAGGCAACCATCATTCATGGACTGGCAGTAAATGAATGTTAGTATGAGAATATAAAAGCGAGGTAGAGAGAAGGAGAGAGAGAGAGAGAAAGAAAGAGAAAGAGAGAGAGAGAGAGAGAGAGAGAGAGAGAGAGAAAGAAAAGGTAGGGCTGAGAGATGGAAAATAAGACCCTTCAGGCCTCTAAAATAATTATCTTCAGTTAACAGACAAGTTGGTCACAATCAAAAGGAACAAAAATGAATTATGTAATTAAAAAGCAGTCTGTGTTATGGTGTTTTATAGTCATTCTAGTTCAACTACATTCAAGGTTGAGAGCTTATCATGAGGTTTTCAAACTGACACTTAATATTACAGCAGGTAGATTTAATATGGAGGAGACAGCAGACAGAAAGATCAAGAGTGGGAGGTGAGAAAGTTTCATTCTTAATAAAATGAGAAATCTTTATTACAGATACTGACACATATATACCTGTTACCCCACTGAATACTCAGTTTCTATGGCAGTTGAAGTAGCTCAGTCTGAGGTGAACCTTTCATTTCTTTAATGTATTACACAGTCAGCCACATCTGAATGTCACAGCTAAAAGCAAGACTTTCACTTTACTGTGAAATGAAGACTTAAAATATGAGGAAAATGTCACATCGACCAGCAGCCGCGATTCAAATAACACTGCCTCGGGCGATATCCTATTTCACTTAGTTAAACTGAATAAAATATAAAAGAATATAGTTAATAAACATCAGCTGGCAGTCAGATATTCAGACTTACTGAGATCAGTTTTCTCAGTTAAATATCTTTGAGCAGGACACTCTTAAATATGTCTTTTGAGTATCAACAAAATCCAAGGTGACAAGCAAAGTGGAGCAGCAGTTGGTCTGCTTGAATTTACCTCAGTTTTAATGACTTCACTGGTGAAAGGTTTTTGCAGTGATAAAAGTATACATCGCTTCATAGAAATCACTCCTACAACATCACGTACTAACTTATAGAATATTTCCAAATATTGCTTAACACAGTCTCTGGCAGCACTTTTGAACTACGAGGAAGGAGACGGCACAACAGAAGTGGATTATGCAGCAGCACTAGTTTAAGGGGTTTTTTATGCACATTTTGATACTCTGGAGTATCATCCTTGAGCTGATCTTTGACATTAGATGGTAGGGCTGTTGTGCCAGTTAAAGTGTGAAATAGGGTGTTATTGGAAAACAAGAAGTTTCCAAGGATAAATAAATATGGTAAATCCATGAAGGAGTGCTCCCTTTGGAGTGACACCAGAAAAACATACTGAACAATTTCTTTTCTGCTATGGCACTTGAGTCATTTCTCAAGCACTTTAATTTTATTCCTTAAATCTGCAGTCTGTAACCTGTCCTCTGCACTGCATCTGTATTTCTTGCCTTCTATTTTTTGCCTTTTTCAATTTATTTTACTCTTTATTTTAACAGTTCTAATGTATTTCTTTACTTTACATACTGTAAAGCACTTTGCTTCTGTATCTGAATGGTGATATACAGATGAACCTGCATTGCCTCCCGACTTGTTCTCACTGTTCCTCCTTTAATAAAAACACTTAAGTTAAGTTAACTTTAGAGAACATGAACCTATTATTCCCCTGTCAAAGTATAGTCTCATCAACTTTCTGAGCAAAGAGTTAAACATTTTGGGACTGGAAGAAGTTTAGAGTTTTTAATAAATTATAAAAAGACATAAATTAATGAAGGACAGATTTGCAAAGTAGAGCGAGAGGAATGGAAAATGTATTTCATTTTCAAAAGTTTTGTGCTTTTAAACTTTTGTTTTACATTCAAAATGGTTAAATTAAGATAAAAAATATTTATTTTTGCAGATATATCAATTTGTACTACAAGATTGTGAAGGAGTGGTGTTTTCTACTATGTAGAATCTTGAAGCTAAAACACAGCCTTAGTTTATCAACACAGGTGTCACTTATTATGTCAGACTGGACTTCTCCTAAGTAATGGGTGGGCATGTACAGACTCTGTTCGAGGCTGAAGACAACTTTCCTGTCTGCCATTATTTAAAAGTCCCCTTCACTCAGCAGTATACCAATACCATGGTGTGAAAATGGAAGGTTATCATACTGTGTACATTTGCTTATCTATGGTATAGAATTCCACTGTATCAGTGTTATGAAAAAATTTGGGGCATAATATTTTTGTGAAATTATAATAATTCAACCAAAAAGAGTAATTGTAACTGATGATAATAATAATAATTGTGTCATACTGTGAAACTGTCATATTTTCTGAGATGGTTATTGCAAAACTGTCACTGTTGTAACCCTAGTTCCCTCACTGAGTTGTTTGTAGGGATGTGTATTGTCGAGAGTCTGGCAATATGATACGTGTCACAATACAGGGGTTACGATTTAATATATTGCGATATTGTGAGCAAGACAATATATTGGGATTTTTTAGGAAATCTGCCCACAGTATGCAAACAATCTGAGCAAAAAGTCCCTGTAACATCCAACATCATAGCTCTCAGTTTACATTCACAACACTGCTGTATAGCAGTCGATCTGAACTAAATATTGCGATACATTTTTCTGTATTTTCTTCCTCCCCTCGATATTTGAGCTTTACTGTGCAGAATGATGTCTGTGCTGAAGGGGGAAAGTTTCAAATGGTATTAAAGGCCTGTCCCATATAGAAGCCTGTTCCAGTTAAAGGCAGGTTGAGTTCAGAGATTGAAGCAAATAAAAGCCTGGGCTATTAACTGAAGTTTTATGGTACTTCTGAAAATGTGTGTGTGGGTGTGCAGGGCATTGTGTAGTGGTTTAACAGACTAAAGGTCAGGTTTTCCAATGTTATGTCACTCATTACTAAAGCAAAAACGGCATTAATGTGTGATTTATTGGTGACCACTTACCACAGACAGAGTGCTGGTCATTGGGCCGCCATTCGGGCTGAATGTGCCGCCATCTTGGTTCAACATAGCAGTTCCATCTTGGTTACCAGACATGCGAGGGAGATCCATGCCCTGGAGCTGGTAGGGGTGGTGCGGAGCTGAGCTGGAGGGTGGGTCCAGAGGGTGGTATGGTCCAGAGGGGGAATCATGGGGGAGATGTGGGGGCAGCATGTGGTCTGGCAGGGTGGGGGGAGTGATGGGCGGGATGTTGAAGTCCTCGTCGCCCAAACCACCCACTGAGTATGACTAAAGAGAGACAGAGAGAAAATATAACTAAAGACACTCGTAAAACTATACTTTTTAAAGTCCATTAGAGTGTTTTTAATATTTTTCATCACACCGTTTGTTTTCTTACTGACTCCTCCCTAATGTGGGACAAAGTCAAGTTTGGGGAAACTGACATATCGCGATAGAGCTTGGCTGGATGGGCAATGTTGCCTTTAGTTGAGTGACAACTTGAAGAAAATCAATAAGAATTACATAGGGGACTATAAGAGACCCAAGTGTCATGAAACATTACTGTCAGAGATAATAGATGGAAGAGATGGAAAAAGTGCCCATCACCATTAGCCCAGAACACTGAATCCAGTCTGAGCTACATGTAGTCATTCTTCCTCAGCCAGAGCTCCTATCACAGACTAATTATCACTAATGATATTCCCAGCCTTGAACAAAAGCCTTGTGAGCAAATACTCACTCATTCAGCAACACAACAACACAGTCATTTATGTGTACAAGCCCTCCTTTGCCGGAGAGAATACACACAGGCGGTTCGCTGTGTGTAAAAATATATCAATGCTAATCTGACATGCAAAAAGAAAACCAGAAGCAGTTCCGTATATGATAATGAATTATTCTGAGAGCAGAGACAAATGAGAATGAGACATGAAGAAGGAAATGGAGTGAGAGAATCGTGAAAGAGAAGAGTGAGAGACATTAGGGTGAAAAGAGAGAAAGAGAGTGTGTGTGTGTGTGTGTGTGTGTGTGTGTGTGTGTGTGTGTGTGTGTGTGTGTGTGTGTGTGTGTGTGTGTGTGTGTGTTAGAGAAGCTCTCTCATACTAATCTGACAGAGGAGATCTTTTATAGAGACTGACAGCCTTTTCTGCTTGGCTAGCCACACCAGTCTCTCCCTCTCGTGCTCTTTTGCTCTTCATCTCTCACCGTCCTTCTCCTCCTACCACTCTTTCGTTCTTTTAATCTCATCCTCGATTTGTCTTTCATCTCTCTCTCTCTCTCCCTCCATCTCTATCCACTCTTTCGTTCTCTCTCATTCTTTTCTACTCTATCTCAAGCCCACATGCTGTGTTGAGTTATTATGAGTTCCATGACCTGCGAGCTGAGTGATAAGTAAGTTAGGGGTCGAGTTATGTGGCGTATATGCTCACTATGTAATTAACAGCTACTGTGGTAAACCACAGTTTGAGGTGATAGTTCCACTCATTTAAATTAAATTGTCGGAAACAGAAAAAATAAGTGTGCTATATGGAATATGGAAAATACAATTTTTTTTTTACAAAATACAAACAATTTAAGCCTAAAGAAACATCCTGTTATTTCCCTTTCCATCGCTAATTCACAAGGATCTCATTTTAAATCAGGAAAATATTAAATATTGTGCAGATACCTGATAAACTGATGTTTATCTCTATGAATCACAACCATAAAAATTTTTTGATCAACTTTTAAAAACATATTAAAGGGACAGTTCAGCCATTTAGTACTGCCCTCCCAAAAGTAAAAAAAAACCAAAAACTATGAACCCTACACTTCCCATAATGCAGCTCAATAGCATCTTCTGTATTCTCTGTGACTAGTACATTGACTTGACATGTAAAATCGGTGGCTTTGCCCTCTAATTACAGTTAAGGAGATCTACAATAGACCTAGTAAGACTGTATCTTAAGCCTCTAATTTAAGGATTGTATACTGCATTTTCACTGTAAGTATTTCTGCTACTAGAACCAGGTTCTTGCAACTTATTTATAGTGCTACACAGCTTCTACATACTCTAGTAAATTTCAATCGAGGATGCTTTTGATGTAAAGTTCTTTTCTCAGGCATGACCAGCTCCAGTCACTGTGGCCAGTGGAGTCAAATTCCAATCACAGACTGTATGATTAAAAAGGGACGTAGTCTCCATTACGTTAGTCATAGTTTTCTGAAGAGTTGTTGTGAAGCTCAGTGTGGCCGGCTCTGGTCATTGCCATCTTGGCAGTCCTGAATCCGCCGACTAATACACAAATTGGCAAAGAGGTGGCGCATGGGTGGAGCTGAGCCTGATTATTGTTAACGGCCACCTTTGATGGAACCCACCTGTCCCTCAAAGTGGCCATTCCCTTAGGTATGCATAACTTGAGCGTTAATATAATTTAAATGGTTGAGTAATATGAAAATGTATACCCTTACCCATGTCATGAGCAGGGAAATTAACTATAGAGAACTGTACCAGGCTATAAACATGTTTATTGCTGCTGCAAAGTTGGGCATTTTAATATGGGGCCTGATGGAGATAGATTTTAGTGGCCATTGGAGGAACTGCAGTTTTTGGCACTTCCTTTGCTTCATTTGTCAGCCCCAGAAGTTGCCGCTTCATTCCAATCAGTCCCAAATGGGTCTGAATCTTATAATCTTATAAGTTACTGAAAACATAACTATATAAAGCAATAGAATATTAGACTTCAACTATCAATTCAAATATATTTCTGAATTCCTCTCTTTTAAATGTTTAATATTCAAATGTTGCGCAATTTCAAAAATGTTTCCCCTATATATATATATATATATATATATATATATATATATATATATATATATATATATATATATATATATATATATTCAGATAGATAATTTCAGTCAGACTGAGTCCATCTCAGTATTCTACTACTAGATTCAAATTGCTGAAATTCAGTGAGCTCAATTCGGATCTAAAGGTCTGGGTTGGTCAGAGTCAGATCCTAAAATTCAATTCAAGATTATAGATGAGTTGCCTATGTTTATGCAGTGCTTCCAGCTATTGCCTGAGCACTGAAGGGTAATGAGTGTATGACTACATATCACATGGAGCCGTTTCTTGGCTTGCATTCCTGTTCAGTCACCCACCAAGTTCTCTAGTTCCGTTCTGCAATCAAGTAATTCCCTTTCTTTCTAGAGCCTTTCATCAAGTCAGCTACAGTTGAGAGAACACGTATTTGATACACTGCCGATTTTGCAGGTTTTATTGTTATTTTATTGTTATTTGATCACCTACCAGCCAGTAAGAATTCCGGCTCTCACAGACCTGTCAGTTTTTCTATAAGAAGCCTTCCTGTTATCCACTCATTACCTGTATTAACTGCACCTGTTTGAACTTGTTACCTGTATAAAAGACACCTGTCCACACACTCAATCAAACAAACAGACTCCAACCTCTCCACAATGGCCAAGACCACTGAGCTGTGTAAGGACATCAGGGACAAAATTGTAGACCTGTAGATTTGACCATCTGGATGATCCAGATGAGGAATGGGAGAAAGTCATGTGGTCTGATGAGACAAAAATAGAGCTTTTTGGTCTAAACTTCCCTCGCCGTGTTTGGAGGAAGAAGAAGGATGAGTAGAACCCCAAGAACACCATCCCAACCGTGAAGCATGGAGGTGGAAACATCATTCTTTGGGGATGCTTTTCTGCAAAGGGGACAGGACGACTGCACTATTGAGGGGAGAATGGATGGGGCCATGTATCGCAAGATCTTGGCCAACAACCTCCTTCCCTCAGTAAGAGCATTGAAGATGGGTCGTGGCTGGGTCTTCCAGCATGACAACGACCCGAAACACACAGCCAGGGCAACTAAGGAGTGGCTCCGTAAGAAGCATCTCAAGGTCCTGGAGTGGCCTAGCCAGTCTCCAGACCTGAACCCAATAGAAAATCTTTGGAGGGAGCTGAAAGTCCGTATTGCCCAGCGACAGCCCCGAAACCTGAAGGATCTGGAGAAGATCTGTATGGAGGAGTGGGCCAAAATCCCTGCTGCAGTGTGTGCAAACCTGGTCAAGAATTACAGGAAACGTCTGATCTCTAATTGCAAACAAAGGTTTCTGTACCAAATATTAAGTTCTGATTTTCTGATGTGTCAAATACTTATGTCATGCAATAAAATGCAAATTAATTAAAAAATACAATGTGATTTTCTGGATTTTTGTTTTAGATTCCGTCTCTCACAGTCGGCAGTGTATCAAACACTTGTTCTCCCCACTGTAGTTTCAAAAAGTTAAAGGGACATTGTGTAGTGTTTTAAGTATTTTATTAGCTAAAATCAATGTCTTCATTCATAAATGTGTCCTCATTGATGTAAAATTACCTCTGCCAATGATCTGACTTATCCTTGTAAGCAAAGAATTTCTTATCTGTATGTACATTGGACGAGCAAGTCCATGGAGGCTTCCATGTCGTTCCGCCATTTTGAAAAACTATAATCACCGAGAGGGACATAAAGCACTAGCCTACCTGTCTAGCTAACAACGCGTTTTCGTTCAGAGCCAGCGTCACGTGACTGAAACCAGCTATAACGGAGAAGGAGATCAGTGAGAGGCGCTTGTCACTGCCACGGCACATTTGAAAGTCTGCACTGCACTTTAGTTAATAATGGAGGATCATACTTATGCCGAGCCACAGGAGAAGGAATCCTTGTCACCAAAAAAGCCAAAAAGGGAATTAAAAAGGCAACGTGACTTGCAAATTCAAAAAACGAGGGTAAACATCGGGGTAGCTTTTCCCAGGTGGAAAGACTTTCAAAAGGGACGCTGAAGTTGCCTGCTTTCTCCTCGACAGGTAGGCTTCTTGGTACATAACGGCTACCGTAGTTGCAATACGCATGTGAAAACGCGAGGCACTAGAGAGCACTATTCGTTTGAATGCAAAATACAATTTCACCCCAAATGGGAGAAATTCCTACACAATGTCCCTTTAACCCTGAGGTGTTTGACCATTTTCTCCAACTACATGTAGGTCCAACATCTTACTTACTACACTGTGTTTATCAGGTCCTGAAAAACCAACAAGTAAGTTTCATGGTTTTACTCAGCTCACAGTGTCCTGTTGGAGCTCGGAGCTCTGCATAAATTACATTGCTTGTCTGTTGTCTGTCTGCCTCTCTCTCCCTCTCCCTCATCTACTCTATCATTTCTCCAAGTTCTGCATAAATTACTGCTCTCTCTCTCTCTCTCTCTCTCTCTCTCTCTCTCTCTCTCTCTCTGCTCCTCCATTCATGTCAGTACAATAGGCTGTTCCCTGTGCACTGGGAGCTTCTAGAAAGACTAATGTAGTCAGGATTAAGTCCTTTACAACTCCATGTTCATGACTGTTTCATATAATATGAAAAGGCACATCCACTGTATGTTGGCGTAAATAATGTGACGTGACCATCAACATCAGTTTCTATCTATGAGGGGTAGATAACTGATTTATGAAGGTATTTAATAGTTATTCAATTATTATTTTTATTAGATCAGAACTGTACTCATTTCATTTTCATCATGTGAATCCTAGCTGGTATGTCTATATGTTCTTGACACATTAATATATTTAATACCTGCATGTGCAATTTTATTTTTGGTATTTAACAAAGTAATTTGAGAATTATGGGCAAATTTCTCCACATGCTGTATGCTCTTCCACCAGGTTTTGTTATACTGTGTTACCGCACATTACTACATGATATCTACATACAGTAGATGTAGATCATGTACATATGCTATATATATATCATATCATGTGTGTGTGTATATATATATATATATATATATATATATATATATATATATATATATATATTACAGTATGTATGTATGCACACTTTGCACAGGCTGAATATATGACACATGTTTACATTATATCAATATTAATGTAGAATATCTATGTGTATACATGTATATCTGTTCAGTCATCATATTATATATACATATTATATTATTATAAATATTATTAATATTATGTTGTGTAAGTTATTATTATATACTGTTATTAACAATAACACTACCATCATGTCATCAGTACTATTACCACCATCTTGCAACTACAACTCTTTGCACCTTACCTACCTATTTATTGTTTTTTATCTTTTCCATCTAAGTATTTTATTCTATTGTTGTATTTTATTCTATTGTATTTTATTGTATTTTAATGTACCTGGGTGCTATGATGACCTAATTTCCCTACGGGGATTAATAAAGTCTATCTATCTATCTATCTATCTATCTATCTATCTATCTATCTATCTATCTATCTATCTATCTATCTATCTATCTATCTATCTATCTATCTATCTATCTATGTAGTCAACTGCTGCTGCAATAATGACACTCTTTGGTCCCTCTTCTAGGACAGACAGTTTAAATATACTGTAAATGCTGAGTAGCCTAAGAGGCAGACAGATACAAATTATTATAAAAGTGTCCACACAGAAGTTACAGCATGTGACGAATTACTGATTGACATCACTGTAATTCTATTTCCTCTGTGATCAAGTGTGTGTGTGTATTTGAGAGAAAGATAGACAGCAGTCAGCAAGCGTTTTTTATGTATGAAAGCACAGGAAAATTAAAAATATATAATTTTTTTTCAGCATAATCATATGAAAACTGTGTTTGTGTTTGTGTATGTATGTATGTATGTATGTATGTATGTATGTATGTATGTATGTATGTTGTGTGTGTGTGTGTGTGTGTGTGTGTGTGTGTGTGTGTGTGTGTGTGTGTGTGTGTGTGTGTGTGTGTGTGTGTGTGTGTGTGTGTGTGTGTGTGTGTGCGTGCGTGCGTGCGTATGTATATAGTGTGGGTGAGAGTTGGGAGATTCCCTTCAACCATTTTGATGGCCCCGTGCATCACCCACTCACACAGTTGATATTTAATCCACTGATATGTCGGAATTTTCCGAACTGTGTAAGACTGATCAATCTTCACTTGAGTGTGGTGAAAAGATAAATAATTTGAAATCCTGAAATAAAATGTCTGGGCTCCAGGTTCATGTTGGGCTTTTGTGTGTATGGTGTATGCAGTGCTTATATAGGATTATAGTGGCTTATTCTATTGTCAGCAGTACATAGAAAATAAAATAAATGTTAATGTCATTATGTTATTTTTTTCAATTACTGAACAGCATAGTAAGAACAGAATTTAAGGAAAAAAACAGACGTGCAAACAACTATACAACATACATATCAGCACCAGGTGGACGTGAACAGGAGACCCAATCTTAGGTGAAGCTCAAAGCTTCGTATATACGCACATATGTGCATTGTGATGCCTTGAACTAGTGGAATGTATTCATACGAGATATTCAGAGGTTTTCTGCTGTACTGTGTGCTATATATGCATGTGTTTGGTGGATATAATGATCGAGCAGCATAGTGCCTATTTCATGTGAATGATAACTGTGATCTTGGTTTGTGTTTTGTCACACAAACACCTAGTGTGAAACCACACCTGTAGCTCAACGGACGCTGATTGGTCTACACCACTGTGGTTTGGACCCAAGAACATAGACTGAAGCCTGGCACGATTGATTCTTGCATGATCTTGTGGTTTTGTGATCTCACGAGTTAAAAAATATTGAACTTGCATTACTAATTTTATTCTATTATTTCTCTTTTGGGTTCTGCATGCCTTGCCTTTCTTTCCTTTGGACAAATCCAGTGTTTTAAGGACTGCCCTCCTTACCTCTTCAAAGTAACTAGTAGCTATAAAAAAAATCTGCAGTTCTAACACTGATTGCAAGCAGGTGACACAAGTGGCAGAGTTGCAGAAGTTTTTACTTTCATTGTCTATAGATGGTGCACATCAGCTTGTTTACATCTGCAGGTCTGTACTGCTGCTACTGTTACTTTCCTTCCCTATAGCACAGATGGTGCAGGTCAGACTAGACCTGCAAATCCTGCAGTTAGACAATTTTTATGAAAACTAAACTGTTGGTGTATTTACTACAGTGTTGATGTGTAAGGTTTAATGTTATCTGAAAATTTTAAAAATTAGCAGAAAGACTGGAGTGGTGCCTCTGCAATGTTGTGTGTGTCTGTAAGTGTGTGTTTATTCACCCAAGGCAGACGGTGTGTGTCGGCCATGTGTGTGTCCCTCCTCCAGTGCTGCGAGGGTGGGTTGGGTGGCGTCATCTTGCTGAGAGGGTGAGGGGGCTGTGGCACACGAAACTGTGGGAAGAATCACAAAGACAAACAAAGGTTCAAATGGATGCAGTGGCTAGGAAAAGGTCAGAGGTCACATGAGAAGGTCATGAAGAGGAGCAAAGACAAAGCGGGGGGGGCACAGAGAAGGGGAGATTCTACACAAGCTCTAGCTCACACACAGACACACATACAAACTCCCACACGCAGGTCAAAATAATATTTTAATCTTTATGGTTGGGTTATATCCCTTTTACTTTCATACCGACTGCTACAACTGAATTGAGTTGACACAAAAAAAGAGAAAGAAAACTTGAGTCAATGAGCTATTTAGAGAAAAAGGAGAGAGGGGGAGAGAGAGATAGAGTCTGTAAATAAATTGCTAGTTTATTCCCTCCACAGCTAATCCCTGATAAGGAAAGGTTACACCGAGTGCTGTACAGCTGCAATGAAGGGAGAAAGACAAACACATAAAAACATCACACACAGATAACGCTGGCACAAACAGACCAGTTAGGCTGAGTAGTTCATGTTGTATTTTGGTATATTTCTTCAGGAAGGGGTGTGGTGATCACCAAGTTTTTTTTATCACCAGCACCATCCTGCACTTTCATTCATTTCTATACACCTGGTAGCCTCTCTGTGAAATCACAACCACCGAGCAGCTCCGTAAACTAATCATTTTGTCTATAATGATATAGATAATGATAAAGAAATGTTTGACAATTGTGCTTGAATAACGACTAAAACAATCAATGAACAAAATATTGGGACTTCGTTTTCTTTCGATCGACTAATGCATGCTGAGTAACGCTGCCTTTGTCTTTATGTCTGCATTTTGGAGGACGGGGCTGCTTGTTAAAATAAACCTTTACTGCAATTGTTAAAGGGCAAAACTGCTCAGGAGTTCCATGTTTACATTCAGAGTCAGCACCCATGTTGTGGCTGGTCTTTTGAACTGTGCAGTGTTGTATGAAGTTGGCTGTGCGTGTAGTGGGGCTGCAACTAAGGTATATTTACATTATTGATTAATCTGTCGATTATTTTCTTGACTAACTGATAACTTGTTTCGTCCATAATATATAAGAAAGCGGATGATCACTGTTTCCCGAAGCCAAGCCAAGATGACTTCCTCAAAGTTTTAGTTTTGTCCATGACCTACAGATATTAAGTTCAGTGACGAATAGGACTGAAGGAGCCAGAAACTATTCACATTTGAGAAGCTGAAATCAGTTCCTCCATTAGGAAAAAAAACCCCAATGACTTAACACATGAACACACAGTATGATGTGGCTGTGCGAAACCATGTTTTCAGGCTTTTAAACACATGCAATACATGTGTTGTTTCACTGGGTCTCCTTCACAAAGTATAGCAGCTCCCTGTTTTAGCTTCAACTCAGCAACATCACACTGCTGCTCCATTAACAACTCAAAAAGGACATGGACTGGGTCAGACTGGACTCAAATTGGTCACATTCATCACAACAACATCTGACTTTGCAATGGTACTTCAATAATAAAGCCATAAATTCTTATTCCACACACCACTCCCCATCTTCTTATGGCACAACACTATGAATAAAACATCAAATCATAGATTCCTATAGCGCACAATATTCTCTATAGCGTACTCTATGAATAATGCATCTCTAGTGAAGTTTCTTATTAATGTGGGCTTTGCTTGGTTGTGAGGTAATTCTGTGCTTACAAACGCATGTTACTCTCTAGAGGCTTCACTGTGCCTCTGGAGACTACACAGTGAATGCTGTTACACCCACAGCCTCATAAAAACACTGTTTGCTGCATAGTGCTGTTCCAGGGCTGTTGCTTAGTAATCTAAAAACAGCTGATCTTTAATGCATTGGTCATTGCTCTCAGGTGACGTAACAGGACAGCTGTACATACACCATCAGCTACCCTGAAACCTGATTTTATGCAATTAACGCAATGTTCTCTGGTGGAAATTTCCATCCATCTATCCGTTCACTATACTTCTTATCCTGTATGAAGTTTCTCAGGGCCTTAATCAACACTAATTTGAATTTGAATTATTTTCTTAATTAATGAATAAATCATTTTGTCTATACAATGTAAAAAAAAAAAAAAAAAAAAAAAAAAAAAGCTGAAAGTCCCTTCTTCATATTGCTTGTTTTATCCAACCAACAGCCCAAAAAAAATGTCTTCCTCCCCGTTACTGATTCAGATACCTGAACTTTGTGTACTGGCCAATACAGAGTACAGATGCAATACATATGTGTGTAAAAATATGGCAAAGTAGCAGTCCTTAAATGGGACCCTGTACCCAGCAGTGCCCTGTTTTGGGGACAATAAATTACATGATATTGGATTGGTGCAACTTTCTGCTGATGGACTGACCAATTAATAATAATTAATTCATAGGTATGTTTTCATTAGTGTGTAAGTACCTGAAAATAAGAATTGTTGTATTTTCGTTATCTGAGAATGAGCTGTTTTTCTCTGCAGACACAGCGATTTGCCTCCAATTGATTGATTCAATTGATTGATTGATTGATTGATTTATTATCGTACACAGGAAAAGAAACAAAAATCCAAAAGGATAACATGTTAAAGTGAAAACACTTATTTCTAACATGGTCCCAAGATGTTAGAAGACGATCTAAAAACAACATAGTCCTAAAAATCCACGAGCACATTTCACAAAACTGATGCAGTTTCAATGTATCAATCTGTTACCCTGTTTTTATAAAAAAAAAAAGTCCTAACCTGACTTCTATAAGCCACTCTCATATTTAAAGATTTAGACATGTAACGGAAGGTCGTTGCACAACATGGCACCAGTGTAAAAAAAAGGAGCTTCTGGGTACATTATTCACTCAAGGTGCTTTACATGAACACACACTGGCCCTGGTATTATAGTGATGCTGAGTATGGACCATTGTTATCTGAGAACACAAGTATTGAGGAGCATACCCATTGATAATATTGTCCCATGGAGGCCGCCATGTCTCTACAGCAGCCCAGAACAGACAAACCAAACACTGGCTGTAGATAGGGAGTTTCTGTAGTTTCTTACACACTTCACAGCCCGTTCTCATTCCCAGGTTGTCAAATACAGCTGCCAGCGGTGTTCAGTTAGTTGCATTCTGCAAGTTCACAGCTAGTTTAGTTTTATCTATTTGCAGCCCAACCCAGCTAGTACAACCTTTTACCATTAAACACATACACTACCCAATGTGTTAATTATCATCAGACCATGAAAGTATAAAGAACATCAGACAGTGAGTGGATATTTCCCCAACTGCTTAATGACGTAGTTAGACTATGGGAGGAGTAAAGAATACGTGTTCATCTTGGAGAGACGAATTTACACCTTTTCAACATCTGGATAAAATGCGGCTCTGATTTCAGTCTGTAAACTTAGTCTTTTTGAGATTGGATATCTACCCGATCCTCCCAAGACACATGGAGGGATTAAGTGTAAATGGGGTCAGAGAGTCAGATCACATTGATGAAGGGTTACTAGCATCATTTCTGACATCTGGCCAGTGCACAGTAAATGATTTGTCCTCAGAGGATAATACGTTGTCAACAGTGATCTGAAGGTTGTTCATCATTTTAAAAAGTTCTTTATGCCTTAATTAAAACTCTTTGAGATAGCATGTAAAAGCATATTTATTGATTCAAACTATATGTCTGCTATAATTTAAAGTCAATCAACAAAAACAAGAAAATAATTATATCATTTGGCCCTTGATTATTGCCATTTTTCAAGGGATTAAAGGTAATGAATGGTAAACTGATAGAAAGCATATTATTATTTTAATTACTAATTCTGTGCTAACATCCTAAATAAAGGAAGTACTTAAATCCTACTCAGTAGTTCTCTATTTGTATAAAAAAAAAAGAGAAAGCTTGGAGATGGGAAATCATTGAAATGCTTTATGTGCCTCAGGTTGAGTGCATGTAAGTGATATTGATTTGTGGAACAGGATGGGAGGAAAAGCTGGTTTGATGCATCTGGAAAAAACTGAGAACTGAAATAGCTAAAGGTGAGCTCAAAGACGTAGTGGGGCATGATGATCTTAAAGAAAGCATCAACAAGAATCTGCTGTAAAATATCATTAATGCACCACGCTGGAAAATCCTCTGAACATTTTTCATCCACTCCATGGATACCTTGCAGTGTGCAGTGTAGCTACAGAACTGTTGTTTAAGAAGGGCTCTTCATCAGCGCTTTCCTAAATACAAATCGGTCTGAGTGGCATTCCTGAATGTCAAGTACAATAAAGTCTCACCGCCTCCTGCAGTAATTAATAGCTAAATCAGGTATTGGGAAACCATTCCCTCCAAATGGAAAGTCCCTATCTATAGCCAGTGTTTGGTTTGTCCCAGCTGGCCTGCTGTAGAAACATGGCAGTCCAACATGGTGGACTCCATAGAAGGCGACCCACTTGTGTAGATGAAAACATCTCATTCTAAGGTAACGAAAACAGAATGACTCTTATTTTGAGCTGATCATACACTAATGAAAACATAGCTATGAATATTGTATTCCATTTCTGCCAATAAATCATCCTAAATATTACACACTGAACCTTTAAACATTAGTAATTACACTTTTGAGTGTTCTGATCAAATCATGCAGTTTTGTTGGGGGAGATAATAAATGTAATACATTTAATCTAATAAAAAAAAAAATTAAAAGGAAGGAAATGACAGAGGAACAACTTCATAGAGGAACTCACTCTATGTTTCGCACACAAAAACACACACTCTTTCTCTCTCACACACAAACTAACCTGATTGGTTGAGGCAAAGTCATGGCCTGCGTCTGGCATACCCAGGAACATGGTGTCCCCATCCAGCTGGAGAGAACAAAAAGCAAGAGCAACAATGTCAACAAACTATAATCAAGAACAGCAAACAGAGAGCAGCCAGCAAGGAGACAAAGAGTGGAGATGGAGGTAGCAGATTACTGGGTGGCAGCCAGTATGAACGACTGGTCCACTATCTGCACGCAATCTCCTTCAGACACTGAAAATCCTGCTTGTGGCCTGAGTGAGCACTGGACCCAGTTTTCCAGTGACGATCAGTCTCATAAACTGTATCACTGTCCATCACATAGAGGCTGAGATGAGGTTATTTTACAGTAGCCAAATGTTTGACAATTTACGGTATTTATAGAAGCTCAGATGTCAGGATCCTCTATTGATCAGGTGTTGCAGTGTTCCATTTCCAGTGTTGCAAGCATATCACACAGGGTCTCCACACTTAGAAATCACTGGACTTGGAATATAGTTTATAAAAAGTCGCATACATTATAGTAATTGCTCTGACTCAACAAAGACTCTGAATCTGGCTCTATGATGATGGCTCCTGTTACCTTTCTCTCCACCCACCAGCCCAAGCCCAGATAAATCCCCAAGGTTCTTAAAAGTAGCGATCAATATATCATCTAATATAGAGAGAGACATTAATTATACATATACCAATGTGTATTAGTATACAAAATTTATACACTCCTATTAATAAGTATACTTGTATGCCAAAATAATGTAATTCAAACATTCGAAATGAGAAAGAGTAGATGACAAATATATGTATGAAGGGAGCCAGATATATACAGGAATAAATAAATGGCAGTAACATTCAGTGTGCTTGACATCCATCAGCATATACCTCATTTCCTGTTCAATCATACTGCTTCCTTATACACCCACAGCACAAACCGTATACAATTTAAAGTACATTATATAGTATACAATGGATCCTATTAGTATGCAGTGTGGACTTTTACTTCCTTATTTCCCTCTTATCTCCCCTACACTTCCTTGTGTGGGGCCCCTTCTCTCCTCCTTCCTCCATTAGCTTTTATTTGTCCTACACCACAGACAGCAGTGAAGAACAAAGCTCTGAATGTCACTGTGCGTGTCATAGGTGACCACTAGACAGCTGCTCATATCACATATTCACTTCAAGGGACAAGAAGCAGCTAGTGTTGTCTCCTTCTGATATATTGAAGGTTACTTTTTGTCCATGGTTGCATTATATACAGTCAGGAAAACATTCATTGTTAAGTAGTTGTTTTAAGTTTTGGTTTTTAAATTAGACTCGACTTAAAGACCTGCTTCTGAAAGCTGCTGACTCTAAGGTCATTTCATTAGTCTTAGTCCACCTTGTTGTTAATATTACTTATATTTTACTTTTCATAGATATTTGTCAAAAAGTGGAGTAAAACGCAAAAGCAATGTGTTTCTCAGGTTTTATATGCATGTGAAGACAAACTTGCAAGATTTAAACCACTGTGAAATGATCTTATTATTACTCATTTTATCTGGCAAAGGGTCAACAAACTACAAGTCTTGAAAAAGATAGGAAAAGTCCTCAAATTTTTAGCTGTAACCACTAAATGATGTTTGATTAATATTTAGCAAATATTCATTGCTATCAAAATGATTGACTCATCCGTTACTCTATTAACTGTTACAGCAGTATTCAAATTAAAGGAAGGAATAAGGGCACTGCTATTGGTAGCATCAGTCTAAAAACTCAGCTGCAGTAAGCAGTGTGCAAGTTAACACTTTATTTGGATAGTCCGCACAGATTTACATAAGCAGAGCTTATTAAGTAAGGTTCAGCAATTCAACTTTTTCACACATACATTTTTTTTTTTGATATTACACTACTGTGTGGTAAAGGTTTAGTCGGTTTGGGCACAAAAACATGACTGAATAGTCAGGTATATTCGATAGAAAATCTGTTGAACATCTACAGATAAAGCAAAAGAGCTGAAATGTTACATATACTTTATAAACTACCTGTAGGCGGACAATCCTAATAAAGTGTTACCCTGGTCAAAGTCTACGTACAACCCACACCTGGAATAAAAAACAACAAATATATTTGAATCCATAAACTATATTCAAATCATTCATGGTAACATGGCTACACAATCATTGCCTTGGTTGACAAACACACACACAAACACAGAAGAACGTTTGAACAGGTGGGTAGAAGCAAAGCACTGTCCCATGTATGCGCACACACACACACACACACACACACACACACACAGACAGACAGGTGGACAGACAGGTGTAACTGCCCTATCCATTTGCCAGCTGTTGGGTATTATGCAAATGAGGTATAGGTTTACAGAGTCAACAGAAAGCCAAAACTGTTGTGATGGACGCAACCCACAGACAGACAGACGGACGGACAGACTTTTTACTATCATTCACAGTTATCTTTTAAAGCTTTAAAAGAACAGTTCATATATCAAATAAGAGTGGAATGGTGAGGGTCTCGTTTGTCTGTCTGTCTGATCTTCATTCTTGCTCTATGGGAGCAAACAAAGTTTATCAGACAAAACAGACGAGGGGAAGTGATCTCACTGTCAAATCAGCTGCTTCCATTTACCTTTGACAGGACCTCATATACCACGTGAACCGCACACACAGATTTTACACATGCAGCCATGGAAAAAACTATTGGCTAACATTCAAACATCATACCTTCCACCTCATGTGCAGAATGCAGCTATTTTAGCAGGTTTTCCTGCCCTTGCTCCTATGTAACATCCTTCCCAGCAGCACAACCTCCACCTGCCCCTACCCTTATCTAAACCACTTTAACCTACTTAAGTCTATGGTCTAACCTGATGGATTAAGTCTAATTCTAAGGTTTTATGCTTTGCAGCAATAGAGAGCTGCAGGGATGACGTCTTTCTGTAGGCCAACCCAGAAGTTAGCATCACCCTGGTTCCTTTGACAAAAGGCCAATGGCATTTGAATAGTGAAGCTATAAACATGACCTCACCATTACAACCTCTAAACTTTCCTCTATAAGTCATCTCTGTAGTCTAATTTCTGTAACCACTTGTTAGCGACCACCTTTTTTAGACATATAAAAAGCTTCAAATTTACATATTTTACATTGTAGAACAACATCTCTTAAGCTTGTGTTAACCACAGACCTTATTTCAGGCAACAAAAAACTGGACCTGCTGAAATGCTAACTCAGTTTTGGAGTTTTAGACTCTCTACGACTCTATCTCTACTATATGACTGCAAATAACAAAAAACCCAAAGTCTGCACACAAACAACCATCTGATTTGACACTGATACATGTTGGCATATACACTCACAAGTGTCACCTTAAATGGAATCAGGCCACAAAATAGAGTCATTTTGTAGATGGTAAGCTAAGTGGCTAATGTGTTCCTGCTATCCATAGGACATATACAGCTCTCAGCTACAGTAAGCACTATGAGAAGAGAAGAGATAAGAGGGAGAGAAAAAAAAAAGCCTTAAAGATGAAATAGTGATGATTTCTTTTTAGCAGGCGCTCAGTGTAAGAGGCAGAGTGGCACCTTTTACACTCTTCATCAGTCCTGGGAGGGACAAACAGGCAGGCAGGCAGGCAGGCAGGCAGGCGGGCAGGCAGACGGGCTCTAAAGCGCTCGGTATACTCGCCATTCCCAACCTGTCGCGCAACAATGTGACGTAGATCTCGCTGGCGCGCCAGGATTTTGGCCCGGTTGCGCCCAGTCGCGCCAGTTCGCGCACCACTCTTTTTTTTTCAGCTTAGCGTGCCAAAGCGGAAACAGGAAGATGGACGATCTGTACGATCCTTCAATGAAGGAACACAGAGATGCCCAGAGGTGCCAGAATGTTGGAAAAGAGGAGGCCATATGCCGGAAAATTTGGAAGAAGTTTCTTCTTCTAGTACCTAGAAATAGCAACGTCAGTAGCCTTTCCTCAGTAGCGACACCTCTGTTCAGGAGAAGACTGCAACTAGTGTCGCGACCACCACGCACAAGTATAAATAGTTACGGCGCTCCTGTGACGTCACATTGTCGCGCGACAGGTCGGGAACGGCGAGTATACCGAGCGCTTTAGGGGGGGAACTCAGTGGCTGCTTCATTAATGCCTGCTCAACACTGATGTGTTGAAATGAAACTGAAACGATGCAGTTGCAACTAAAACTGTCTTAAATGTTTGTAGTTTCTTCATGCTGAGAGCATCACCTAGAACACAGACACAAAACTGTGTTTAGGCTTCTGTGCCCATATGTGCCAAAATTGAGCTGATTAGTATTCCTTTTTAAATCTTTCTACTTAAGTAAAAATGAAGGGAACATTACATTTTTCCAAGCGGCAGCAAGAGCCAAAAAAAAGGGATAGAATGTAATTAAATCTATTTTATGAACTACACTAAAACGTTCTATTTTATTTCACTACTTTTGCTAATGACTCTAGTGTTATTTTTCTAGATGTGTTACAAACAAGCAGATTTTCCTCTAGGTGTGCTGGCTTACTCATAGATAACAACATCTGCTGGCAAAAAGTTGCTTCAGTTTTAATGTACTGTGCAACAGACTCACCACTGGTTTGTTTGTGTAGCCAATGAGGTGAGTCAGAGCTGGTTTGCCATACAGCAAATGGTTCACTGTCCCTTTACGTGTAGTTGTCCATGGCAGAATTTTTTGACGACGCCACTTAAAAAGGAAGTTTTTCCTTGCCACTGTTGCCAAGTGTAACCAAGGTTAGGGTTAGGGTCAAAATAAGTATAACACAAAAAGCAGTTCAGTATCTTAAACACACAAAGGTCACAGCTTTCTGTACTAAATTTACCCACACACAAATACTATCATAAACAAATGATCATAAATCATTGTTCAATTCTCTGCTGTAATTTTGATGTGTGCAATGCGATGGCCTCTAGCGCAATGCATGCCTGTTTCACATCCTGTGATCTTCTCTGGGTGGCATTTGTGTAGCATTTCTTTGTAATATTTACTATTTTAAAACAGTGTAAACACAGCCCCTTTAAAATGGTAACATGCTATAACACCCAAAAAACA